CTTGAACTCCTGACCTCAGGTGATCCACCCACCTTGGCCTCCCAAAGTGCTGAAATTATAGGTGTGAGCCACTGTACCTGGCCAGAAAAGTATTTTTTAAATCCCATAAATACAACGTTATAATGATACAGGAGGTAGAAAGAAATTATTCAGGCAGGTAGTGATGGTAAAGAGTCCTTGGTGGAATTTGCTTTTTAAAAAAAGCAGCCCCAAAATAATTTTGTTTCTAACAAAGAGCAGCCTGAAAAATCAAGCTGCAGACATAGATAAGCAAGTTGGAAGCTTGCACAGGTGAATGCTGGCAGCTGTGGCAATGGAAGAGGACCACCTGGAGGCCAGGTATATTCGACTTGGAGGCTCTGTCTTCTCTTTTGTCACTTACATGTACAGTAAATAAACAGGCAACATGGTACAGCCAGGTAGAAAACCCATCTGCATAATAAAAGATGAGGGTGGAGGCTGGATGTAGTGGCTCACACCTGTAATCCCAGCACTTTGGGAGGCTGAGGTGGGAGGATCACCTGAGATTAGGAGTTCAAGACCAGTGTGGCCAACATGGTGAAACCCCGTCTCTACTAGAAATACAAAAATTAGCCTGGCATGATGGTGGGCACCTGTAATCCCAGCTACTCAGGAGACTGAAGCAGGAGAATCACTTGAACCCAGGAGGCAGAGGTTAAGGATTGTACCACTGCCCTCCAGCCTGGGAGACAGAGCAAGAGTCCGTTTCAAAAAAAAGAAAAAGATTAGGGTGAGGGCTACCAGAAATTTGGGCCCTATGTAAATGGCACACCTAGTACTAACCAGTTTTCCTACCTTATGCAAATGACACATCTGGTCCAAGCAATCTTTCATGCCCTGTGTAAATCAGACACCGCCTCCTCAAGCTCAGCTGTAAAACCCTGTGCATTTCGCTGTGGACCGGAAGACCCACTTGGGACCTCTCTCTGCAGAGAGAGCTTTTTTTTTTCTCTTGCCTATTAAACCTCCACTCTTAACCTCACTCCTTGTGTGTCTTGGTCCTTGATTTCCTCAGCGTGAGACAATGAACCCCAGGTATCACCCCAGACAAATGATACCACTTCAATAAGTGCATGATAAAAAAGCATGCTAAGGTTATAAACACAGAGATGGGCCACCTAACCCAACTGCAAGAATGGTGGGAAGAGGTTTCCGCTGAGCTGAATCTCAAGAGAAAGGCAGAGACCAGAAGAAGAAGATGAGGTGGGGGGCTTGGGGGTGGAGCAGGCAGCAGAAGGAAGACTCACCCACGGTATGGACAAGGACAGCCCCTGAAGATGACTGAACATGACACTGAGGAGGTGACAGAGTTGTGTCATCCAGAGCTCAGTAATCTGGTATTGAGGGAGGAGACCCTTAATCACCCTTAAGCATCTAAAACCATCCCCACCTTGACTTCCACACCGAATTTCAATATGAGAAGTCAAGGCTGGCAGACCTGGTGCCACCTTAATCACCCTCCTATATCTGCAGGCATGGTGTGGAGGAATCTTTCCAGAAGGCATTGTTTTCACTTAAACAACATCAAACCCCCACCTAAGCCATTATACCCCATGCCTACTCCATGCCCAAGACCCTTTCACATGTAAGTTCTAGAGCTGTAAGCCTTAAAAGGGCAGGGACTTTCTCTGTGAGCTCAAGCTTGGCTGTTAGGCAACTATGCCACCTTCTCCTGGCCGAATAAATAACCCCTGCCCCTTCCTTCCAAGTTCGCTGTTCAAGAGGTCTGTTTCACCGCCTTTCCTGCTTCAGTATGAGATGTGGACTAAATCATCCAGGAATGGCATGGTCAGATTGGAGTCTGGACAGCCCTTACCGGCAGCTGGAGAATGACCCTGAGAAGACAGAAGGTTGGAGCAAGAGGGTCAGGAGGAGAAGTGGCGGGCAAATTCTGCAGCTGGCTTCTGTCATCTCACGAAAGCCAGTTGTGAGATCATTAGGAATTTTGGAGGCTGCTAGATCTTTGATCACTTGAAACCCACTGGCTGGAAGTAGTTACATCACAGAAAGTGGCCAATGCTACAAATCTGGGCTGCCTCCCAGAGCTGCTGTTAACGGTTCACCAGCACACCACTGGTGGGAGCGGAGGTGCTAAAAGATCCCAGGAAATCTGAAGCAAAGGAGGCAGGTCTCAATGGCTAACTCAGTATGGGCAGAAGAGTCAAAGCTGCCCCCAAATTTCTAACTTAGCAAATGGGTGAATGTTGATGGTTGGAATTAAAATGGATAATAGAGAGGATAAAGCAATTCAGCTAACAGTAATAAATTTAGCATTGTTGTCAGAGGCATTGGAACCAGAGCGACTCCATCTTGGGTGAGGGCTAGGAAATATGAGCCTGGGACTTGCTGGGCTGCATGCCCGGAAAGTTAGACATTCCTAGCCTCTAGATGTTTGCAGCTAAGGGAACATATTGACAACATTTGCTAAACAGACTCAGACTTAGGAGTGTCCTGATACCCCAGCTTGAGAATAGAAACATTCCTGATTTTACTTTAAAGACAGTGATCGATCCTTGCAAGACACTGAGGAAGGAGACCCTTTCCTCTTACACTTCTAAGACCACTTCCCCTTAGCCTTGCATTTCAAAAGGAGAAGTAAAAGTTGAAAACAGAAGGCCCAAGATCAGTGGAGGAGACAGAACAGGTGCCACTACCGGACCTAGAGGTTAAAGATGAAACACCCCTCCCCAGTTCCTATCCTGTCTGTAGATCCCAGGCACGGTATGGAGGAATCTTCCCCGAAAGGCATTGTTCTTGCTTAATCACGACTAGACTCCACCTAAGTCACGTACTCCTCACTTACCTCATTGATCACGACCCTCTCACATGTACCCTCTAAGACTGTGAGCCTTTAAAAGAGCCCAGGATTTTCTAGTCGGGGAGCTCGGTTCTTGAGACGCGAGTCTACTGAGACTCCCAGCTGAATAAAAAGCCGCTTCCTTACCAGTTCCGTGTTGGAGAGGTTTGTTCACGGCTGCTCCTGCTTCAATATGGTAATTAAGATAATTGACCCTTTATCACAAACCCTAGTAGCAGAGCACATCTCCCCATGATCATTTTTATCCTGTATAAATGAGTATTTTGCCCAGGGTGGACGTGGCCTTCTCTTACTTTCAGGAATGCATTACTCGTCTATGGAGTAGCTGTTCATTCACCACTTTACATTTTTTTTTCTTGAGATAGCATCTCGCTCTGTCACCAGGCTAGAGTGCAGTGGCACGATCTTAGCTCGCTGCAACCTCTGCCTCCCAAGTTCCAGCGATTCTCCTGCCTCAGACTCCCAAGTAGCTGGGACTACACGTGTCTGCCACCATGCCCACAAAGAAAGTTCGCTTGAGCCAATCAAGCCAGAATCAACTAAAATATACTTTTGTGCTGACGGTGAATTAAACAATTCATGAATATGGGAACCAAGGTAGACAGGAAATCATTTTATAAAAAGATTCCCAGAGACTCTTCTCTTGTTTCTATAACAAACAGAATGGAGCCACTTCCCAGAATTATAATAAGACACAGTGAATGGGAAAGTTCTAAATTTATGTGAGATCAGCTTTTGAAGTCTGAAATCCCTGCAGTGGGGAATACTACCTAAGTGCTTCCAAGTTCACAAATAGATCTTTCTCTAGGAGTTTTCACAGCCAACTCTTCAAAATTTGGCCACCTTTGTCATAATAATCTATGAATATCCAGTCGTCTCTGCAAGAAGTCTGTTATGACTGGGACTTCTTTCTGCCTCCCTGGGGTCAGATCAAATTAGCTTGGTGAGAATTGCTTTCTGTAAAGCCAGCTCACATTGGAGTAACTCCAGGGCAAGCTAAGTCCTCTTCTCCCCTAGCTCCCAATAGATTCAGAGAAAGGAAGGGATGAGGTCAGGAATAACAAAGGGACGACCAGTGGCAAAATTTAAAGATAGAGCAACTGGAGAAGTGAATCATGGGCCTTAGGAAAGAAAGAAGGAAAATGTTGCTGGCATCCAGCTGTGCAGATCTGATGAGACCAGCCCCCCAGAAATCTGTCACTGCTCCGGAAGACAATGCAATGTGCCTCCAAATTTAATGACTGTCTCCTGGCCTTTTACAGGGGAGCAGGAACTCTGCCCACAAAGCAGAAAGGGGTTAATGAAGCCTGGTGAGAGAAATGTTGACTTTTTGTGGGTATAAAAGGCCCAGACAATTCAGCTAAGGCAGGTTTATTGTGATCTACTGAAAAGTCACGTATGAACGCTTTTTTTTTTTTTTTTTTTTTCCAAAAACAAGGGAGTTACTGACTTTTCAAACTGTGAAATCATTTATGGCAATTTAACCAGCTTAGTCTGTTTTCATGCTGCTGATAAAGACAAACCTGATACTGGGTGATTTATTTAAAAAAATGTTTAATGGACTCACAGTTCATGTGGCTGGGAGGCCCCACAATCAAGGCGAAAGGCACATCTTACATAGTGGCAGGCAAGAGAAAGAATGAGAACCAAGTGAAAGGGGTTTCCCCTTATAAAACCATCAGATCTTGTGAGACTTATTCACTACCATGAGAACAGGATGAAGGAAAACACCCCCATGATTCAATTATCTTCCACCGGGTCCCTCCCACAACACACAGGAATTACAGAAGCTACAATTCAAGATGGGATTTGAGTGGGAACACAGCCAAACCATATCACCAGCCAAGCATTAAGTCAGCCTCTACAGAAGGAAGAGGCTTAAATTAAAATTGATTTGGCATCTACTAAATTTGGATACCAAATATAAGAAGTGAAAAACAAATTATAATTTTTTTCAAGCTAGAAAGAAGCTAAGAGGTTACCTGTCTTAGCCCCTGACGTCCCTCACTGATGCGGAGGCCAAGGCTTAGGGGACGCTGCCCCTCCTGAGTTCTCTGTGTCCTCCCTCACTCCACCATGCACTTTTTTGGAGAAGTGAGACATCTTAGTTTGGAAAAAAAAATAAGTGAGATGGAAAATAAGACAAATCACTTGTACTTTCCTACTACTGATCAATTATTTAATCCAAAGAAGTTAAAACTATGTCTAAAATTAGACAGCCAGGCCATTTTTCACTCCTCAGGCATGCAAAGATGATAATATTTTTCAGACCATGACAAGGAACTGTGGTGCATTACAGTGATTATTTTCCCAAATCACCAGCTCTGGCTAATGAATACTTCAACAGGAGATTTTGCTGCAGGAACTCATAACAGTTTTATAGCAAAACAAGGAAGCAAAGACTTAACATTTCATCTATGCTCTGTTTTGAATTGGTACAAAAGATGGCAGGGATTAGACAGTTTCTAATGGGAAAGGCATAGGAAGTAATTACTAAGCAGTGTTATGACCATGGGTTTTTTTTTTAAACATTTTGCCATTTATATAAAATTCAGAAACATACAAAATTAACATTTCATTTACAGATACATACATATGTTGTAAAACTATAATAGGCAGATGACAAACACAAAATTCCAAATAATTACTTGAGAGGGAGAGGGCACTTAAGGGACTTCTAAAATGGAGGCAATATTCTGTATTTTAAGCTGGCTGATGAGTACACAGATATTTACATCTATTATCCCTTTACTTTATATATACATGCTTATGTATTTTTGTAGTATGAAATATTTCATTTAAAAAAATGAAAATGTAAAAGATTTCAAAAATGAAGACTACCATTTATGTTTAACAATAAAATTACTGTAAAAACGTATACAAAGAAAATGTTCAGTTCTTTATTTTTTAATGCCGTATATAATCAGTATTAATCTAAAGGGCCACAATCCTAGTATGAAAAAAAATAACAAGCTTTGACACAAAATCTAAGCATCTGCTTTCCTGACACGCTAAGTTAGACAAGAGAAAATATGTTAGCCACTCAATTCTGTCTCTTCATCTTTCATCTGTACTTAGATTTTTCTTTATCTTTGGATTTCTTTGGACTTCTGCTTCAGTCTCTCTTTTTACCCCTTTCTCTTTCGTAAAGATCTGTTTGGATTTGGATTTGTGACTATTACTATGATGGCCATCCCTCTCTTGAGATCAGCTACGACTTCGGTTCTGAGTTCGGTCTCTCTTTTCACTCTTTTGTTTCTCCCAACAGCTTTCTTCTTCTTCATAGTGACCAAACCCCATTTCTCTATAGATATCCTGATTAGGATTTTTGATTGGCATGTAGTCCTCATCTTCTTTTTCTTCAGAGCAGTGACGGGTTTTCTTCTCGTGTTTTTTACTTGTGTGTGCGTGACTTGATTTTGAGTCTTCTGCCTGCTCATCTAGCATAAGATCGTATTTTGCATCCTGTTTGGGCTTTACTTTATCTTTCAGAACCAAATTAGATGGATTATTTTGTTCTTTTTCATATTCCTTGAAATCACTCTTGGTGTATTTCTCACCTTTTCCTTTCAATTTAACCTTTGCAACAGACTGGCTAAAATCCACATGTATTCTTCTGTCATCTATAAGTACATTGTCCATTTTGAAGAATGCTTTCTCACAATCTTCTTCCTTTTCAAATTCAATAAAAGCGTAACAGAGGGACTCTCCTGTCTTCCAGTCCCGGATAACTTCACAACTTCTTATTGGCCCAAATCTAGAGAATATTATTTCCAGATCCTCATCTGTGGTCACTGGGTTCAATTTACACACAAACAACACATTTTCTGGAGGTTTAATATCTGCATCAGGTAGGTCTCCCACCATCTCTAAAAGTATAGCCTGAGTTTTAGCCTCTTTTTCTGCCTTTATTTCTTCGAACTTCCTCAGCTGATCATCCTTTGAAATCATCAATTTCTTCATCTGCTCCTATTCGACCACTATCTAATTGTTCCCTTGTAGGTTCTGGTGATCGATCAGGGATTAATAAATCAGGAGGGTCATCAAATGGATCATCTAAAATCACCGTGTGATTTATCCTGATATCCTAATATGGTACAAAGTCTTTGTCAACAAAGGTCTCATTAATTTTCTTAATTATTAAGAAATTATGTCCATTCCTTCTGTCACCTCACCAAACACTGTATGGACACCATCAAGGTAATCTAGATTTTCTCCTGTAGTGATAAGAAACTGAGATCCATGTTGATCACTGCCATTGTTCACCATGGACACTGTGCCTTTCTTCTTGTGCTTTATTCTTGGGACTTTCTCTGCCTCAAAAAAGCTTGTTTGATCACCATACAGTTGGCCAAAAATAGACTCTCCTCCACGGCCAGTCCCTGTAGGATCACCAGTTTGTATGATAAAAACCCTCTGTACATTGTGAATAAGGCAATAATTGTAATATTTTATTGTGCACAATTTCAAGAAATTCAAGTAGGCACGCCGCTGCTCCTCAGTGTACAAGTCGATGACGACGTCGCCCAAAGTGGTCTCCAGCAGAACCGCCATGGCGCCCACTCCTCCTCTGCTACAAACCCCAGGGGGTGGTCTTCTTTTTTTTTTTTTTTTTTTTGAGACGGAGTTTCGCTGTTGTTACCCAGGCTGGAGAACAATGGCGTGATCTCGGCTCACCGCAACCTCCGCCCCCTGGGTTCAGGTAATTCTCCTGCCTCAGCCTCCTGAGTAGCTGGGATTACAGGCACGTGCCACCATGCCCAGCTAATTTTTTGTATTTTTAGTAGAGACGGGGTTTTACCATGTTGACCAGGATGGTCTCGATCTGTTGACCTTGTGATCCACCCGCCTCGGCCTCCCAAAGTGCTGGGATTACAGGCTTGAGCCACCGTGCCCGGCCGACCATGGTATTTTTATCTACTATTTACAGAGGACCAACCCTAACCTAAGGGGTAAATACCTGGCTCTTTCCCAATGAGTTTACTGTTTCAAGACTTTAAAACATGGGGAAGGCCGGGCACAGAGACTTATGCCTGTAATTCCAGCACTTTGGGAGGCCAAGGTAGAAGAATCACTTGAGGCCAGGAGTTCAAGACTAGCCTGGGCAAGCTTGTGCCCAGGAGTTCGAGGCTGCAGTGAGCTACGACTGTGCCACTGCACTCTAGCCTGGGTGACAGAGCAAGATGCTGTCTCAAAAAGCAAACAAACAAAAACCATGGGACAAAGGAAAGGAAGGAGGAGCAGAGCACAACACACACATCCTGAACTGGCTTGTCTCAAACCAGAGCCATTGTCCCAGGGACTCTGGGTACTTGGCTGCAGGTTGGACCCTAATGCCAGAGCCTCCTTCTGATGGAGGCTTCAACCATATACCTCGCATCTTAAACAGGGAGTTGCTTCCATGCTGGATTTCGGGGAAAGGAAAGCAACCTATTAGAGGCATAGACGTGTACCTGTTTGAGTCTCCATTTTCAGTTCTTTGGGGAGTATACCTAGAAGCGGAATTGCTGGGTCATATGGTAACCCTCTGTTTAACTTTCCAAGGAACTCATCCTCAGAATATTTGGAACCAGTGATGAACCGAATCAGACTAAAGCTGAGACAAAGCCCAGACCCAGGTCAACACAGGGCAGATGATGCATGCAGCCACCACACCAGTGGCCTCACAGGAGCAGGGCACATCGTTTATTGCAGCAGTCCCCAACCTTTTTGACACCAGGAACTGGTTTCATGGAAGACAATTTTTCCATGGAGGGTGGTTGTGGGGGCGGTTTGGGATGAAATAGTTTCACCTCAGATCATCAGGCATTAGATTCTCATAAGGAGTGCACAGCCTAGATCTCTTGCATGCACAGTTCACAATAGGGTGCATGCTCCTGTGAGAATCTAACCCAGCCGCTGATCTGACAGGAGGCGGAGCTCAGACCGCAATGCTCACCCACCACCACTCACCTCCTGCTGTGTGGCCCAGTTCCTAACAGGCCACAGACCGGTACTGGTTCACCACCCGGGGGTTGGGGACCCTGCTTTATTGGGCATAATTATTAGGTCGTATTCTTTTTGGTGTTGTTTGTGCAGCTCTAGTGAGGTAGAATTCACATGCAATAAAATTCACCCCATTCGTATGTGATTCATGGCCTTCGATTACACTTAAAAAGTTGTAAACCATCATTACGATGCAGATTTAGTATATTTCCATCAGCCCCAAAAATCCCCTTGAGTTCTTTGTAGTCAAAGCCATCCCCAATTTCAGGCAACCACTGGTCTGATTTGTCTTTTTCTATTTTCCTTTTCTGGACATTTAATGTATATGGAGTCACAGCATGTGTACTCTTTGGGTAGCAAGTACTAGTATTAGTCTACCAGCTCAGATGTGCATAAAATGTTTTTCTTTCTCTCCTCTCTCTCTTTCCTTCCTTCCTTCTTTCCTCCCTTCCTTCCTTCTTTCTCTTTCTTTTCTTTCTCCCTCTTTCTCTCCCTTTCTCACTCCATTCCTTTCTTTCTTTTTTGTAGCAAGTACAAATATTAGTCTACCAGCTCAGATGTACATAAAAATATCTTCCTTCTTTCCTTCCCTCCCTCTTTCTTTTCTCTTTCTTTCTCTCTCTTCCCTTTCTTTCTTGTAGCAGGTACGAGCATTAGTCTACCAGCCTAATAGATGTACATAAAAATGTTACATATCCTTTCTTTCTTCTTTCTCTTTCTTTCCTTCTTTTTCTTTCACCAAGTCCTCCATCTTTATTTTTTTTTTAACTGTTTTTTAATCCTCTTTTCTTTTCTTTCTTTCTCTTTGAGTTTCTTATCCTTCTCTTCGTTCCTCTACTTTTTTTCTTTCTCCTCCCTCCTTCCCTCCCTCTCTCTTTCTCTCTCTCTCTCCTCTCCTTCTCTCTTTCTTGTGGCACGATCTTGGGTCACTGCAACCTCTGCCTCCCAGGCTCAAGCAATTCTCCTGCATCAGCCTTCTGAATAGCTGAGATTACAGGTGCATGCCACTACCACCTGGCGAATTTGTGTATTTTTAGTAGAGATGAGTTTTCACCATGTTAGCCAGGCTGGTCTTGAACTCCTGACCCCAAATGATCCTCCCAAAGTGCTGGGATTCGAGGCATGAGCCACCACAGCCAGCCTTTTTACTTTCTTTAAACCCAGTTCTGCAGGGGTACAGGGAAACCTATTTTGGGGCACCACTGGGGTCTGGAGAGAGGAGGTCTTCTTCCCTATGGTCATGCAAAACTCCAGGAGTGCTTTTGGTACCCATTGGAGTAAGAACCATTTATTTTTCAGCCCATCAACCTTGCCACTGATACTCTCATTATCAAATGGTTCTTCTAGGGAACAGGCTCTCCCATCTCCAATGACAAGCCTGGGCACCAGAATCTGCAGAAGGTTCCTGAGTTCCAATAGATGCATCCCACAGCTGTGTCACTCCAAGAGCTTGCCATCTGTGTGGGTGCTGCAGGGACTGAGACTTGAGTCCTTGATGCTCATAAGACCACCATTCCCCTACCCCTCCCAATCTGGGGGAGTCACTCCTCCCTCCAACTGCTGTGAAAGCCTCCACCTCGCCCACCTGGCTCTGGGTCTTCTTCCTCCAGGACATCTGGGGTACATCATGGATGTACTGAGATCAGGCTTTCTCAAAAGACAAGAAGAAAGGCTGTGCTTCTAAGAGCTGTTGCCAGGAATCCAGCAAACACTCCTGAAGGTAGGAAACCCAAAGGGACTAGTTGCTAACTCCTAACACAGGGGATTGGGGAACACAAGGAACATTAAACACAGATTAGGGCCGGGCGCAGTGGCTCACACCTGTAACCCCAGCACTCTGGGAGGCCGAGGTGGGTGGATCATGAGATCAGGAGTTCAAGACCAGCCTGCCAAGATGGTGAAACCCCGTCTCTACTAAAAATACAAAAAAATTAGCCGGGTGTGGTGGCAGGCACCTGTAATCCCAGCTACTCGGGAGACTGAGGCAGAGAATTACTTGAAACTGAAAGATGGAAGTTGCAGTGAGCTGAGATCGTGCCGCTGTACTCCAACCTAGGAGACAAAGCAAGACTCCGTCTCAAAAAAATAAACAAACAAAAAATAAACACAGATTAGGATCTCACTAAACACCCTCACACACTGCTCTACATTTATCCGACACAAAACCACATCAGCAAATCTGCTAAAACCATGCTATTCTTTCAGTTTTTTCACTGCATTTAGATTCCATGGAAGTGTGCGGGAGGACAGAGTCACCAAACAGGACAATCCAGGCTAAGCAGCAGAACTGGCTCTAACACAAGAAATGGCAACCAGCACCACGGCATTTTTTTAGGTGTTGAAGACATATTTCCTCTTTAATCCTCTCAGCATCCTTAGGTAAGGCTGTGAGTCCAAATGCCTTATCTAAAACTTTTGGGTGGCTGGGCACAGCAGCTCATGCCTGTAATCCCAGCACTTTGGGAGGCCGAGGTGGGTGAATCACCTGAGGTCAGGAGTTCAAGACCAGCCCAGTCAACATGGCAAAACCTCATCTCTGTTAAAAATACAAAAATTAGTTGGATGTGGTGGTACACACCTGTAATCCAGCCACTCCGGAGTCTGAGGCAGGAGAATCACTTGAATCCAGGAGGTGGAGGTTGCAGCGAGCTGAGATTACGCCAGTGTACTCCAGCCTGGGTGACAGAGCAAGACTCCATCTCAAAAAATAAAATATAACAACATAATAAAATAAACCTTTGGGGCAACCTCTGCTTCAGAGTCCAGAATTTGGGGGATTTTCAAAAGGCTGTTCAATGCATGGGATTTATATCACATAACACCCTGACAGGGTCTGATGCAGTTCTCCTATCAACTATCAACTTTCTTCAATGAAACAAGTTTAAAAATCACACCAATGGATCTAAACAAAGACTGTAAATAGCTTTCCATCAGCTGGGTCAGGTCAGAAAAGAGATTTGGTCCTTAGAACTTTCTGGATTTGAGAGTGTACTAAACTCCCCATTTTATAGATAAAGGGAATGAGGAAGGGTAAGATGAAGTAACTTGGCCAAGGTCCTATTGCTAAGAAGTTGGGGGGTGGGCGCGCGGTGCTTCAAGCCCCCTCCTCCCCCACACTGAGAGCAAGGGATCAGGAGAAAATGACTTTGACTGCTTTGTCTACCAGAAACTCACCTCAAGCCTCCCACACCAAAGCCATGGGCAGCTTGTGCGTGACCTTCTTCCCATGGCTCAGAGCTTTGCTGATGCTCATTTTAATTCACTTTGATAGGTTTGTTTTGTTTTCATTTTTGATTTTGTTTGAGACAAAGTCTCCCTCTCACCCAAGCTGGAGTGCAGTCACCTGATCATAGCTCATGGTAGCCTCTCCCTTCTGGGCTCAAGCGATCTTCCTGCCTTGGTCCCCCACAAAGTGCTGGGATGACAGGTGTGAGCCACCGCGCCCTAACTATAGGGTTTTAAATAACAGAAGGAGCCTAGTAAAGTGTGACTTACCCCAGGCACCCCTTACAGACCTCCGAGGGTCCATCCTCCACTGATCCCGGGAAACAACTGTGACATCGTCTTTTCTGCCTGGATCATCCCAGTAGTTAAACATAAAGTAGAGAATGTCATTCCATTTCTCTCTATATATTTTTTTCCAAGCCCTTTTCATGAATATCAGTTCTTTCCTGCACTGATTTTTTAAAAATTTTTTAAATTGTCTATTTCTCCCCACTTCCACCCCAAGGCTGACTCCTCATAAAGCAGCCTCTAGCCTCATCTGCCCCTCCTACATTACACCAACTCGAGGGCTCGGAATTGGGTCTGCGGGCAGTTGCTGATTTGCCTGCCTTCCCTTCCCAGCTCTTGGGGTTAGCCTCTCGGGCAGGGTTGAAGTTCAGGCCTGGCCAGGCAGCAGGAGGTGCAGACAGCGAAGCGGAATCCTTTGGAGATACCAGGAGAGGGCGCATCCGCATTTTCCTGTTTCAGATCAGGATTTTTTTTTCCCCTCTCTCTCCCTGTTCTTTGCGTTTCCTTCTAACCAGTGAGCAGCGTGGATGCGCAACCACGTGCTCTCATTCTCACGGAATCGGGTGGCGCCGGCACCTCCTTTCGTAAATCTAGTTCTTCCTGGCTTTCATGCCCTTCTTGGCCTCACGTACAAACCTGCCCCCAGGCTTCTCCCAGGCTACCTGGCCTCGCACTCATTTCTGTTTATTCCTTCTGCAGGAGGGTCCCGGGGCGGGCAGCACCGCCTGAACCAGGCCTTGACCTCGCGATCTGACGCAGCGCCTGTCCGTGACTGCGTCCCTGGGGCGCTGCCCAGGTGCTCGGGATGCACATAGGACGGCTCTCCCTCCTACCTTGTCATCCAACTGTCTAATCCGGGGGCATCTTCCCTCCTCCACGACAGGGAGGCTGCTTCCCAGATGCGATCCCCGCGCACCCGTGAATCCCGGCGCCGGGCACCTGGAGCGCCGTGAGGTTAGCGGAGCCTGTTCTTCGGCAACAAGAGCTCAAGAAACATCCTACAAGCTTTTTGCTTTTTTAGTCTATTTTAAAGCAAAAACGAGTGGAAAGCTATATGTGCTCAGTTAACTATGTCTAGATGTAAGCCTTTTTCACAAAAGCACAAAGATGGAGGCCTCCCTCCGAGGATGCCTGGGATCCTCCTCTTTCCAGGGGCCGCAGCGACCCCCCTGCGGCTCTGGCTTCCACTAAGGGATCCGCGGGGAAGACCAGCTCCACACACTGCATTTGATTGATGATTTATTTTTATTAACGCCGTCACAGAAGCGCCTTAGCGTAGTCCCTGTTCTCACCGGTCCTAGCGTCGACCCCGCAGTAACCGCGAGGGTGGGAAGCTGGGGGCGGATGCAGGGAAAAGGGGGCGGGGCCCCTGTGGGCGGGGCCCGGGAAATTCCCCGGAGCTGGAGGGGAGCGGCGCGCGGTCAGCTGAGTGGCTCTGGGCGGGGTCGCGAGGCCGCACGTCAGCCCCAGGCTCCCCGAGCCCCGCTGTCCCCGCCGCCCCGCAGCAGGTGCCCTGGTCATCATCACAACCCGGTCCGGAGCCCTCTCCCGGCGGCATGATGCCGAGGAAACAGTGACCCTGAGCGAGGCCGAGCCGGGTGGCAGGTGAGCCGGGGCAGGGGGTAGCGGGGGTGGGCGAGGCGGCGGCGGCTCCTTCCCGGCGGGCACTACTCCGGCCAGAAAACGGTTCCCGCTGCCCTGCCCCGCGGCCCGGAGTCTGTCGGGGTGAGGGTGGCGAGAGGTGGGGCGGCCCTCCCGCGGGACAGCTGCCCTGGGAGGGTTCCCAGGCCCCAGCAGGTCCTGACCTCGTGGGAAAGGATGGGTAGTTAACAGAGGATGGGCCCGGGAAGGGTCCAGGGCCGGGCTGGCGACTGCAGGTGACCCCTCTGCAGGTCATCCAGAGGCTTGGAGGTGACGTCCTCCCGCAGGCTGGGAAGGATTCCGCAGCCGGTTCCTCGCCATAAAGAGGAGGTGGTTATAGACACACCTATGGGAGACGTGGGACCACACTACTAGAGCTGGATGAGGTGCCCAGGGTTGGTACCACAGAGTGATCCCTCTCCAAGGGGGTGGGAATCCACACAGACCGCTGTGTCTAGGAGAGTGTGTACACTATAGAGAGAGGATATTTGATGAGGCCGAGAACCCCAAAGGAATTGTTTTTGCCATCAAAATGTGTTAGGTACAGGCAGTAAACATCACTCAAAGAAAATGAAACCCGGGTTCAGGCCTGGCCTCTACCACCAGGAAAACTACTGTATGGAAATGTACGCCACGGAACTGTTTGTAAGAATGAAAATGGAAAATGAAAGCATAGAAAGTAAGGCAGTGTAAGAACATCAGAAGCCTTTGGATCTGTTAACAAGGTGTAAGAGTGTGAACAGAAGAACCCACCTTGCTCTTTTGACCCAGGGAGAGAGGAGTTAGTGGGCCAAGCAGCCTCTCAGGACAGGCCCAGTTTTGAGGAGCGCTGGAGAGATCCCAGGGCAGACGGCAAGGCCAGGGATTGCCCTGGGGTGGACAAGGCAAGTTTAAAGGTGACCTGTAGAGAGAGGACAGTGATTGATTTAAGTCCTGGCATAATCGATCTGTTTTTCCACTGGGTCAGTTTTAGGAGTTCTTTATATATTATGTACAACACTATAAAATAGCAGCTTCTTTTTAATAAACTAACCTTTAGGTTGCATATTATGCTGGGAATATAACTAACTTTCCTCCCCAAGAAACCAAACTTTATTCTCGAAGGCAACTGGATACAGTATTGTGTCCTGCCAAAACCCTGCTCTAAGTTAGGTAGAGATGCACACATATTCTAGCCGTGAACTACACTTCTGTTTTATAGAAATTTGGCATATTTCATATATATTCTTTGGAATTTATGAAATAGAAAATCCAAAGGAAAAGGAAAAAAAAACTCTTTTTTAAAAATATTGGCCGGGCACAGTGGCTCATGCCTGTAATCTCAGCACTTTGGGAGTCCGAGGCAAGTGGATCATGAGGTCAGGAGATCAAGACCATCCTGGTCAACATGGTGAAACCTGTCTCTACTAAAATACAAAAAATTAGCCAGGCATGGTGGTGCACATGCCAGCTATACCCAGGAGGCTGAGGCAGGAGAATCCCCTGAACCCAGGAGGTGGAGTTTGCAGCGAGCTGAGATCATGCCAGTGTACTCCAGCCTGGGTGACAGAGTGAGACACCATCTCAAAAAAGAACATATTTCATTTAGAAAGAAAAAATTATTTTAAAAGTTTTCATTGTTTCCACTTTGACACGTGTATGAGGATTATTAGAATCTGTCTTGTGAAGTAATACCCAGATGGCTTCGTAGTGACAGAAAAAAAAAAGCACTTCTAAGTTTTCAAATAAGTTAGAAAATTGGATTTCGAGACTCTGGAAGTGAATGCCGTGGAACTGTAGAGAAACTCCTAACAATACTAGCATGCTGAGTTAGTCACCTGCACAGCAGAAAGCATTTTCCAGGTGCTAGACTTAAGAATACCTCATTATGCTATATTTTCATTTCATCTCAACAAATGCAAGCCTGCTGTGTGCCATTCTCTGGTAAGAATAAAGGAGAGAGAAAACAGATGGGTAGAAGATGATAGCAGTAATTTCAGAATGGGCAGAGGAGGTGGAAATGCAGTGTTCTTGGGTGCTCGGAGGAGGGAACGGTTCGTATGACACAGGACGTCATAGTTAATCTGGACATTGATCTGTCCAGTGAAAGTTTGCCAGGACAAAAGGGGAGCCAGACAGAGGGCAGAGGGCAGAAGAGAGGCAGGAACGCAGGGAACTGTGAGCTCTTTAAAGTGCCTTGGCTCCAAGTAGTTTGGTGGCAGAAGGTGACTCTGGTGGGTCAGTTGGGTCGGGCCCTGAAAAGCCATGAGTGTCTTGCTAAGAAGCTGAAAGTCTGTCTTGTATGGGATGGACTCAGGGAAATTACCTCGTATTGCACAAGAAACCATGAGGGCAAGAAGACTGAAATTGACAGGGCTGAAAGCTAGTTATTTAGGAAGCTATTAAAATGTATTCAACAGATATTTACTGAGCCCTCCCTTCTATGTGGCAAGTAATGTTCTCAGTCCTGGGGATACAGCAGCGGACAAAATAGACAGAACCCCTGTCCTCTGTGGAGGTCAACAGTGGCTGTGGATCTAATTGAGACCGATGCCTTTCCCTCATTGGAAATAGGGTCACAAGGTCAGGAGTTTGAAACCAGCCTGGCCAACATGGTGAAACCTCGTCTTCACCAAAAATACAAAAATTAGCCAGGCATGGTGGCATGTGCCTGTAATCCCAGCTACTTGGGAGGCTGAGGCAGGAGAATCGCTTGATCCTGGAAGGTGGAGGTTGCATTCAGCCGAGACTGTGCCATTGCACTCTAGCCTGGGCAACAGAGCAAGACTCTGTCTCCAAAAAAAAAAAAAGAAAGAAAGAAATGGGATCCTCACCTCCAAGTTCTTTCTTCATCCCTTTTGTGCATCAGTGGCTTTCTATACTCTACATGATGTACATAGTGTACATCGTTGCTTAATACCTATCTGTTGGGTAGATGGGTTTAAGATTATTTTCTAGGGGCCAGGTGCAGTGGCTCACACCTGTAATCCCAGCACTTTGGGAAGCCAAGGCACACAGATCACCTGAGGTCAGGAGTTCAGAACCAGCCTGGCTAACATGGTGAAACCCCGGCTCTACTAAAAATACAAAAATTGGCCGGGCGTGGTAGCTCACGCCTGTAGTCCCAGCTACTCAGGAGGCTGAGGCAGGAGAATCGCTTGAACCTGGGAGGTGGAGGTTGCAGTGAGCTGAGATCACGCCAATGCACTCCAGCCTGGGCAACAGAGAGAGACTCTCTCTCTGAAAAAAAAACAAACCTGAAAACAAAAATAAAACAATGATCTTCTAACAGTAAACTTCCTGGAAGTAACAAGATGCGTTTTCAGGCATCCTCTGGACTTTGGCCACTCTTGACCTTTGTGGAATGGGTGTGTGAGTCATGTGTATTCAGCGTCAGCAGGGAGGGGCTGCCTTTGCTATGTATTGCTTTATAATCTATCCCCATCAGCTGTTGAAGAAAAGACATCATTTTCCCCAAGTGTGAAGGTGAAAATTTTGCTGAATATGTTTGCCTGGGTGGTAGGTAACACAGAAGCAGAGTGGGGACTCATCCATCTGTCTTGCATATATATGTCTACATGACAAGACAAAGTGGTATATGTAAAAAATATACCCCTCTACAAGACAAAGTGGTATATGTAAAAAAATTTCAGACCATGCAATTAAAGCAACTAAAGATATCTTAGTCTTTTCAGTATGTATTGAAAAATAGAATATTAAGGCCTATGTATTCAGTACTCTAATAACTCTGTTGTTTTACAAGGTGTGGCTTTCATACCTGGCAGTGCCACTTCCTGGCCTTGGATGAGCTGTGCGCCTCCATAAGCCCAGCTTCCTCACCTATATAAAACAGCCGCCTACTTCAGCGTTAGTGAAGATTAGAGTCAGTGACAGGTCTGGTGTGCTGAGTTTGTACATAGTAAGCACTCAGAGAATGTTAATTCTCCCTTTCTTCTTAGCCAAAATACAAGAAACAAAATACAGAGTTTTTAAAGCAGCTTTTATGGAGAAAGTATTTGCTTACCATGCAATTCACTTGAAATAAGGAGATTTGAGCTTGAAGATTTACGTGGGAAATTTTTTTCATGACACTTTGCCCATGTCTGTCTAAGTATATCCTGATCATCATGAGGTCATACCCTTGTCTCCCTCCCCCATTTCCCAAATCCTCATTGTACCCTTTTATATACCCATACACACACAGACACACATATACCTTCTTCTGAAGCTAGGCTATACCTTTGTTGTTTAAAAGGAAGAATCAAAAGTGTTCAAAATATAACTGGAGAGAAAGTGGGCAACTTTTGGAGTCAATATAAGCAATCACTAATGGGTTTGTGGGACTCCTGGGGACTTGTGGGGCAAGGACAGCTCTGTTTTCAACTGGTGACTTTTCCACAGGAAGTTCTGCAATGTCCCATCAACCTCTCAGCTGCCTCACTGAGAAGGGGGCCAGCCCCAGTGAAAGCACAGGAAATGGACCCCCCCATCTGGCCCACCCAAACCTGGACACGTTCACCCCGGAGGAGCTGCTGCAACAGATGAAGGAGCTCCTTACCGAGAACCACCAGCTGAAAGGTGAGCGGGGCTGGCCCCTGCATGCCCTGTTCATCCCAGGCCTTCGGGTAATGCCATCCCTTTGCACTCAGGCTTGGCGGTGAGCTCCCTTCTCTCCCTATTTCCCTAGGCAGTAGCAGGTGGGGAAGCACAGGATTTAGCTTTTGGTGAAGCTAAATCTGTTTTGATTTTTACTTTTGGATACAGGTAAAAATAAAAAGTGTGTGTATCTCAGGGAACTAGCATAATGACATTTAGCCCATTCAGAAGGAAAAAAGAGGGTGGGTGTGGTGGCTTACCCCTGTAATTCCAGTACTTTGGGAGGCTGAGGCAGAAGGATTGCTTGAGTCCAGGAGTTCAAGACCAGCCTGGGGAAGGTGGTGAGACCTTGTCCCTACAAAAAAATTATATTAAAAAAAAAGCTGGGTGTGGTGGTACACGCCTGTGGTCCTGGCTACTGGGTAGGCTGAGGTTGGAGGATTGCTTGAGCCCAGGGAGGTGGAGCTGCAGTGAGCCATGATGGTGCACTGCACTTCAGCCTGGATGACAGAGAGAAACCCTGTCTCAAGAAAAGAAAAAAAGAAAAAAGGAAGAAAGGCTGCTATGGTTCCAGAGTTAGTCCTAAATATTACCTTCCTAAGAGACAGCATCCTGGTATCTCAAGCCATGGCTTTTGGCAGGACCAGTGTTTGAATCTAGCAGTAGGAAGAACTTCCTTAGTTCCCTGGTAACCAGATATTTAGATATTTGTGCTGTAATGGTGGTACCCAAATCAAGTTTATTTTCTTGCAACTTTTTTTTTTTTTGAGATGGAGTCTCACTCTGTCACCCAGGCTGGAGTGCAATGGTGCAATCTCGGCTCACTGCCACCTCCGCCTCCCAGGTTCTCATGATTCTCCTGCCTCAGCCTCCTGAGTAGCTGGGACTACAGGTGCACACCACCATACCCAGCTACTTTTTTGTATTTTTAGTAGAGACAGGGTTTCACCTTGTTGGCCAGACTGGTCTCGAACACCTGACCTCGTGATCTGCCCGCCTTGGCCTCTCAAAGTGCTGGGATTACAGGTTTGAGCCACCACGCCCAGATTTCTTGGGACTTTTAAGAACTAGAAATGATGTTAATCCCACTGGTCTTTTCTGTAAGCAAAAGCCACTTAGTCTTTTTGCTGCTGCCCCTTGGGCCGAGGCTAAGCATGGCATCTTTAGATTCAGAGCCATGTGGTAAAGCGGTCTAGGGGAGGTTTGGGTCATCAAATGAAGTCCACTCTTCCTGGTGTGTGACTCCATCCCTCTGAACCTCCTGCAGAAGCCATGAAGCTAAATAATCAAGCCATGAAAGGGCGATTTGAGGAGCTTTCAGCCTGGACAGAGAAACAGAAAGAAGAACGCCAGTTTTTTGAGACACAGAGCAAAGAAGCCAAAGAGCGTCTCATGGCCTTGAGTCAAGAGAATGAGAAACTGAAGGAAGAGCTTGGGAAACTAAAAGGGAAATCAGAAAGGTCATCTGGGGTGAGCAGACTGATCCATTGTGATTTTTTTTTCCTTAACATTTGTGGTAGAATCTTATATGTCTAGACTCCTAGATCAAAACCTTTCATGATTCAGTCTGGATTGGTGTTTTGCCTGGTCTTGGAAGAAGTGCTTTTGCTGAAAAGATTGGTTGCCCTATTAAGGGTCATGTATAATCTCTTTTAGGGGAAAGAAATCTGTAAAACTTTGACCATACTGATTGTAGGCAGAAGAACACTGAGGTTATAAATCAGTGTTTTGTATTCAGTATAGATGGTGCAGATGGGCCTCTGCCTAGAACCATCAATTGTTTTTAGTTTCTGTCTTTGATATAAAAAATATGTTTTAAAAACCTATTAATGAGAATTTTTACTTGTTGACCTTGTCTGTTCCCTTAGTCTAAAACGGAGATTATTCACTATACATTTTCCTTTTTAAAAATGTTTTGGAAAATGTCATGTTGTGATAGGAGGCTATCGTGTTACCACAGATGAAAAGAGAAAGAGATACATTTTTCTTGACCCAAAGAACCTGGAAAATGTGCTCATATTTGGGAGTGGACGTCAAAGATATTAGTAAAGAAACAAACCAGAAACTGTTTGGCGTCCCCCACTGGATGCGTTTGCTAAGGAGCCCTCTGCTGTCCATGTTCTTCCAAGCCTGGCACTTAACGGCCCTTTGGAGGGTGAGGCACTGAGATGGTAAAGGCAGGACTTCTTCTGGATATGGGTGATTTTTCTAGAGACTCTAACTTAAACTTCACTGATCTCTAATTTCTTGGATGGGTAAAGAAGGGAAACAAAGAAATAAAATAGAAAGGAAAGAATGGGAAAGGAAGGAGCATATAGAATTATCTAAAGCATAAAAGGTTATTTAGAAAAATACTGTATTAGGCTGGACATGGTGGCTCATGCCTGTAATCCCAGCACTTTGGGAGGCCCAGGAAGGCAGATCACTTGAGGTCAGGAGTTCAAGACCAGACTGGCCAACATGGTGAAACCTTGTTTCACCCAAAAATACAGAAAAATTAGCCAGGCGTGGTGGTGCATGCCAATAGTGCCAGCTACTCAGGACGTGTAGTCCCACCTGGGAGGCAGAGGTTGCAGTGAGCCAAAATCGTGCTACTGCACTACAGCCTGGACAAGAGTGAGACCCTGCCTCGAAAGAAAGAAAAAAAAAATCATTCTATTCAATTTCCTTACGTAAAGAGGATATATGTGAAGATTCCTACTGAAGTATAGTCTCACTTTTACCTGCTTATTTCTGAGTTCTAGCTGAGCAGTACCTGTCCTTTTACTGTTTTTTTTTCTTTGTGTGTCTTTTGTATGATTCATTACTAAGAGAGAATGCAGACTTTCCACCTTTCTCTGCAGACCGAACTCTTCGGTTTCACAATGAGTTGCTTTTCTCTAAGGCCGGGCTGTTGTTCTGTGGCGAGGGCTGCCCCGTGCATAGGAAGAGCATCATCCCAGGAGTAGAAGGGGTACATCATGTTACCGGTGAATGCCTGTACCCCCGGTTTTCAGTATTTCATGGGTGGTTGGTTTATGATGCATCCAGATGTCTTTCCCGATGCTGTTTTGGTTCTCTGAGGAGGCTTAGGTCCTGTTTCCCATCCCTTAGGGAATCTATCACAAGGAAAGGGAAAAGAGAAACTCAGCTTAGACAGTATTGACAAGTTCGAGATCACCTATTTTCGTAACTTGTTTGGAGAATCCATAGGTGACACTTACTCATGCTATACTTTCCTGAAGGTAACTGAGATTTCTCTTTAAAGGTTGGTCTTAAGGCATTTGTTAGTTATACTATAAAGATTGGAGGTTGGGGGTTTCACTTTTCTCATGTGTCGCCATTTTCTGATCATCTCAAATACATTTATTTCTGGTTTGGGAAGGGAACCAAAGTATGGTGCCATGTGCATAGAAGCAACGGAGGTTTCCTGACAGCTGGAAGGGACCAAAGAGACTGTGTGATGCCACATTTTCTTTTTTTTTTTTCCTATGAGATGGAAAAAAACTCTTGTTGCCCAGGCTGGAGTGCAGTGGCGTGATTCAGCTCACTGCAACCTCCACCTGGGTTCAAGCGATTCTCCTGCCTCTGCCACCCAAGTAGCCGGGGCTTCAGGCACCCATCACCATGCCTAGCTAATATTTTTAGTAGAGACAGGGTTCGCCATGTAAGCCAGGCTGGTCTCGAACTCCTGGCCTCATGATCCACCCACCTCAGCCTCCCAAAGTGCTGGGATTACAGGTGTGAGCCATCGTGCCCGGCCTCCACATCTTTCTTTCTCAGCCATGAAAACAGCCCAGGAACTGAAGAGAATCTGCTCCAGGCGATGCACCCAGAATATAGCCTAGATCTGTTCTTCCTCCTCCCACCTAGAAACACCATATCTCAACAGTCATTCTCTTACAACTTTGTCATATGCAGTCACTGCAACATGGTGAACACAACCCAGCCTTGACAGTAGTGGGATACTGATGTATATTATTCATGTCTGCGTAGGCTGGAACTTAATTTTTTTAAATCCTTCATACCAGCCTCTACATTTTAAGTGTTCTTATTTCTCACCAGATGTACTTTTAGCAACTTTAAAACACCAACATAGGCTGGGCATGGTGGCTCACGCCTGTAATCCCAGCATTTTGGGAGGCTAAGATGGGTGGATCACTTGAGGTCAGGAGTTCCAGACCAGCCTGGCCAACATGGTGAAACCCTATCTCCACTAAAAATAGAAAAACTTAGCCAGGCCTGGTGGCAGGGGCCTGTAATCCCAGCTACTCGGGAGGCTGAGGCAGGAGAATCACTTTAACCTGGGAGGTGGAGGTGGCAGTGAGCCGACATTGTGCCATTGCACTCCAGCCTGGGCGACAGATCAAGACTCCATCTCAAACAAACAAACAAATGACAACAAAAACACCAACCTTAAGTGTGAAAGGGACCGGCCCCCACACTGTTTTGGACCATCCATTGTGCTTTGCTGTCACTGAACCAAATCATGTCCTTGGTGCTTTGGCTTCTAACAGACATGCCAAGTGTGGGAAGAAGGGGCATGGGTGGGCATTGGTGGGGAGGAAAAGGGCAGGAGGTTGGGTGGTAGCAGCTTTTTGTCCATCCTTTCTGGAATTTTAAACAACAGCTTATGAGTCCACTGTTGCCAAAGTGAAGTTGATCATTTCCATAATATTAGATTATGCCAGCATGGCAAGGAAGGCTGTCTTTCTTGCCATGAAGCTACTTTTAATTTTGATTATTTGAATACAATAAAATAATGTAAAATTTTCCACTTTAAATGTTATGTCAAAATACATTGTCAGTTGGGCGCAGTGGCTCATGCCTCTAATCCTAGCACTTTGGGAGGCCAAGGCAGGTGATCGCCTGAGGTCAGGAGTTCGAGACCAGTGTGGCCAACATGGCAGAACCCCATCTCTACCAAAAATACAAAAATTAGTTGGGCATGGTGGCAGGTGCCTGTAGTCCCAGCTATTTGGGAGGCTGAAGCATGAGAATTGCTTGAACCCAGGAGGTGTGGTCGTAGTGATCCAAGCTCATGATGCTGCACTCCAGCCTAGGTAACAGAGTGAGACTCCGTCGGTAAAAGAAAAAAAAAGGCAAGTAAAGGCTGGAATTTTCTACTTTAATGCACCGGGCACAAAGGTGTTGAGAACCTTCCTTGTCTCTGGGTGTGGAGGCAGTTGAGTCTCATGGCCAGGTCCTTAGTTTGATTTGTATTTGTTTGTTGGCTTTTTTTTTTGAGACAAGATCTTACACTCCTGGCCTCAGGCAGTCTTCCTGCCTCAGCCACCACACCTGGCTAATTATTGAATTTTTTGTAAAGACGGGGGTGTTGCAATGTTGCCCAGGCAGGTCTCAAAACCCTGGCCTCAAGCAATCCTCCTGTTTCAGCCTCCCAGAGCTCTGGATTACAGGTGTAAGCCTTAGTTTGATTTGTTCATTTACTTTACTCCTTGTCATCTCCAGGAACCCAATGGTGACTCCATGCTTCCCACAGCAGAAGCAGAGCAGGAAAAGGAGCAGCTCAGAACCCAGGTGGTGCGGCTACAGGCAGAGAAGGCAGACCTGTTGGGCATCGTGTCTGAATTGCAGCTCAAGCTGAACTCCAGCGGCTCCTCCGAAGACTCCTTCATTGAAATTAGGATGGCTGTAAGTTTTTGGTTTTATTTTTTATTTGAGCTAACTATAAAGCCTCCCCTGGAAAGATGAAACAAATACTACTTTTTCTTGTCAACACAAGGAAGCCAAGGATTGAGGAACTTGCGTGTGGCAAAGCAAAATTGGCCCTCATTTTTTAAGTATAGCATATTGCATGTAAGGGTTGTCACAGCTAAAGTGGAAAAATATTAATTACTTTTTATGATGAGAGATGTAGTAATTTGTTTCATCATGTCCTGGCAAATTGAACATTTTTGTGACTGACCTGAAAAGGAAAAAAACCACACAAGCACGAACCTTCTGTCATTTTTCAAACCAGGTCTCAAAGCTGTATTCAGCAGTTCACTTAAAAGAGCCACAAACATTTTTTAACAACAGTACCCTCTTTTTTGTTTTGAGACAAGAGTCTCACTCTATCCCCCAGGCTAGAGTGCAATGATGCGATCTCGGCTCACTGCCACATCTGCCTCCAGGGTTCAAGAGATTCTCATGCCTCAACCTCCCAAGTAGCTGGACTACAGGCACATGCCATCACACCTGGCTATGTTTTTGTATTTTTAGTCAAGACAGGGTTTTGCCATGTTGGCCAGGCTGGTCTCAAACCCCTGGCCTTAAGTGATCCACCCACCTTGGCCTCCCAAAGTGCTGGGATGACAGACATGAGCCACTGTGCCAACAGAACCCTCTGTGCAAACAAAGCGGTATGAGGAACCCTGGCATATTAAAAATAAGAACAGGAGAAAAGAAAGAGCAGAACTGCTCCGGCTGTTGGTTGAGGGAGTGTCCTGGCTTTCCTTTCACTTTCAACAGCAGCTACTCAGGAATCTTTGAGAACTGAATTTGAAGCCAGTGCTGTCAAAATCAAATTTCTCTGCAACCCAAAGTGAAGTGGTCTAAGTGAGGGGGCCCTAAGCTCTGGAGAAGCATCTGTTACCTCTGTGCCTGGGGGCAGGGGCAGCCTTATTAAAGAGCAGAGCAGATCAGTGGACCAGGTGGGGGCCTCTCCTTCATTGCTACTAACAAAGATTAGATAGGGAGGATAAAATCCTCTGTAGAACAGATGGTCACTTTAGCTGAGTCAGAGTACCCATGTGATACAGGAAAAGTGACTGGCTGGGTGTAGTGGTTCACGCCTGTAATCCCAGCACTTTGGGAGTCTGAAGGGGCGGGATTGCTTGAGCCCAGGAGTTCGAGCCCAGCCTGGGCAACTTGGCAAAAACCTGTGTGTAGAAAAAAAAAAATACAAAAAGTTAGCTAGGCATATTGGCACGCACTTGTACTCCCAGCTACTCAGGAGCCTGAGGCAGGAGGATCGCTTGATCCTGAGAGTTTGAGAGGCTGCAGTGAGCCATGATCATCCACTGCACTTCAGCTGGGTGACACAGCAAGACTCCATTTTTAAATTTAAAATGAAGAAAAGAAAAAGAAAAAAATTGTGTCCCTGGAAGAGAAAAATGTACATTGTAGATAAGTCAGGAGGAATGGGGAGCAACTTGCAAAAAAGCTCACCTACTGGTTATATCTGAAATACGAGTGTGTGACTGTCTTTGCGTTCTGATTTATTTGCAGCACTCGAGTTAGGAAATGGCTCTGAATAACCTAGCCATCCATGCCCCCTTCATACATTTTAGTGGCCAAAATCAAGAGAATTAAAATACCAATTGAAAAGTATATTTTGCCAGAGTACCCTTTCTGCAAGTGATCAAAGATTACTGAGACAGAAGTTTAACCAGAGATTAAACTTTAATCTTTATCATTCTTTATCATTCTGTCAATAACTTTATCATTCTGTCAATAACTGATAGACTGCAGGAAACCCAACAGGGTATCAGAAGTTTCCAAATGAAGCTGCTTCTTTGAAGGTGCATGATTAGCATCTCATTCTTCCTGTCAAATGAGTGACAGTTATTTTTAGTGTAAACATGTTTTGCTTGCTTTTCTTCTGTGAACTGGAAAGCACGGCCCAAGATTTAGGAAGAAACACCAAAAATAACTAGACCCCCATGGCCCCAAGCAGAGAAAAAATACATGTATCTATGTTTTTTATAGTAGATATATATATTCTGTATCTAAATATAGATCTCTATCTATATATATGATGTATAATTATATGTAAATATATGTAACATTGATTATAACATATTAATATAATCCTATTAGATATGTATTATATAAATATAGATATATATTTAGATATCTATTTTGTATATAGAAATATATATCTAGAACCATCTTTGTGCATTGTTGAAGATTTTCCCTGGGATCCTACTGGAATATAAATGCCTTTCAAATTCTGTGAGTCTTAGTCTTCTTGTTCCCTAAGTGACCTGCGGTGCATACAAATTTCTGATGGGAACCGCTTGGCTGGCCAAGATGACGCTTTGTGAATCTCATTCACAGAAACTGCCTCTTTTTTAACTTTGCCTCAGTGAGTTCTAGCATATTGCATTTTAAAGGACTGTCCAAGAAGGATATGTGGAGCTGTCACCAGATCTGGGTGACCTTAACCTTGATAAAGAGGGAACTGCCAAGGAATGGGAGGAGCAGATAAGCTTTCATGTTTACGGAGTCAGGTAGAAAGTGTAGAGCCAGAGGAAACCGACCTTTCACGCCTTAGCCAGGATATTTATAATCTCGACAGGGTGTGCGGGGTGAGGGAAGAGTACATTTCCATTCCATTTGAGCCACCCAGTTTAAACATTGCCCATCTGAATGTTTGGAAGGTTCCTTGCGTTACATGTCACAAAAATTCATCTTTTGTCTCTTTTTCTTTTGACAGAGAATTTGTCATGCAGACATATTGCGTTAAATCCATTGCTTTTGTTTTTTACAGGAAGGAGAAGCAGAAGGGTCAGTGAAAGAAATCAAGCATAGTCCTGGGCCCACAAGAACAGTCTCCATTGGCATGTATGTGAAGGAAGACGCGGGCTGACAGGCAGGCAGGCTGGGCAGGCTTGTCAATGGGAGTTTGTCACAGGAACTCAAGTGTAATGGCCTGCGGAAGTAATTTCTTCATGATTTAAACCAGGACCTTTCAAGAATGAATGCTCTTTAATGTTGCAGCTCAAACTGGCAGATTAAAAACTGGTGGCCAGGCATGGTGGCTCACGCCTCTAATCCCAGCGCTTTAGGAGGCTAAGGCGGGCAGATCATGAGGTCAGGAGATAGAGACTAATCCTGGCTAACATAGTGAAACCCTGTCTCTACTAAAAATACAAAAAAAAAAAAAATAGCTGGGCATGATGGCACGCGCCTGTAGTCTCAGCTACTAGGGGCACACCAGCCTAGGTGACAGAGTGAGATTCCGTCTCAAAAAAAAAAAAAACAAAACACTATTTGGTGCCTGTTTGGCTCACACTGACTACTCTGTTCTAATGGTGTCTCACCTCCAGCAGGTTCAAGTGAAAACAAACTGGTTCTCAGTCAAGTCAATGATTTGTTCCTAATCAAAGACACGTTTGCTCATTGGTTCCCCAGTGCTGTATGACTCGGACCAGGCTGTCCAGCTTCCATAAATGAAATATTTTTATTTTCTTTTCCCTGCTACTTCCCACTTACAAGCCAGGGTGACCAATATTGGAACATCTTTTGTAACAATGACCGATAGCACTCTTAGTCACTGTGGGTGTCGCCTGAGTGCCCAGATTTCTTACCTATGGCATCTTAAGTGTACCTGTCCTGTGCAGATGTGAAGAAACAGACATCTTAAATAGTGGCACAGCCTTGGGGAGGGAGGTGGACCTAGAACTGGGTGCCTGAACCTCTTGACTCTTACAAGCATTGCTCACCAAGGAGACTGCTAGCTCACCTTCCACAAGCTGCTCACTCCTGTAATCATCTGTTTAAGACACAGTTATTCTGAAAAGATCTCTAAGGATCTCTTATAGATTTTTTTTCTTTTTGAGATAGAGTTTCACTCTGGCACCCAGGCTGGAGGGTAGTGGCACAATCTTGGCTCACTGCAACCTCTGCCTCCTGGGTACAAGCAATTCTTCTGCCTCCTGAGTAGTTGGGACTACAGGCGCCCAGCCACCATGCCCAGCTAACTTTTTGTCTTTTTAATAGAGATGGGGTTTCACCATGTTGACCAGGCTGATCTCAAACGCCTGACCTCAGGTGATCCACCTGCCTCACCCTCTTAAAGTGCTGGGATTATAGGTGTAAGCCACCATGCCAGCCATCTCATATATTTTTAAAACCTTTGTATAACTTGATGAATGTGCATATAGAATGACTTACAAAATGTGAGAAAAAAAATCATCTTCCATTATGTTTCTAAGCCCTTGTATAAGAAAGAAAGTATTAGGTAATATTGTTTCATCAAACAGGATAATTGGCATAAACAAAAGTAATTCCCTTTTTTGGTTAAAAATTCTTCCAGTTTCCCCCAAATTGCTTTTTTAATATTCAAAGACATTCCTGGAAGTAGAAATAAAAAAGCCCTGCTTGAAATTTCAAAGCCACTTCCTCATCATTCATATCCAGATGCAAAGACCACTTCCTCTTTTAAGCCACATGGCTATTTTAAAAATAACAGCTCTGGACCACTTGTGAGTATCGTAATTAGTGTGAGATTGATTTCTAGGTTTGGAGTTGAAGCTTCAGAGTCCTGGAAACTAGATTTAATCCTGGCTGTTTATTAGGCATGTGAACCTGAGTCAGTGGCTGAAAGAGTAGCTGCCGTTAGCATCGTCATAGCCATCCCTAATGTTTTGTAACAGTGATCATGGTTTTGTTTGTCACTGATACGTCTCTTAATCAGATTTTGAAATTGAGAAAAATGCTTGACATATCGACAGTGCCTCCATTTCTCTGCTCTCATTATTTGAGGCCACAAGTGTAAAAGGTTTTCTCCCCTTGACTTGAGCTGTGATGTTCTCCATTAACATGGAGAAAGGCCAGTTGCCTGTACAATGTGCCTTTATATTTTGCCTGGCTGCAGTCCCCTTTGAGAGGAGATTGCTGGAAAGCTTGGCACCTTCAGCCACGGCCGCCTCTGCTGAACTGTTCCGTGGGTGTTGTGGCCTGGTGTCAGGTACACAGTGACTGTTTGGAGGAAGTGGGTATGTACAGTGTAAGGCTGGCCTCTCCGGAGCCTCACTGAGTCTCCACACCTTCCCTAGGAAGCATGGAGGAGCTTGGCACTGGGGGTCCACTGGTTTTGCATTCCCACCAGTGGTGTATGAGCATTCCACTTTCTCCATGTCCTTACCAATGCTTGTTTCTGTCTTTCACTGTGACTTTAGCCATCCTAGTGGATGTGAATTGGCATCTCATAGTTCTGATTTGTATTTCCCTAGTGACAGTGATGTTGAGCTTGTTCCCTAATTGAGAATTAGTTGGAGAATGTTCTGGAAAGCACTTCCTGTAAGTTGGTTCCAGTTATATTGGGCCACTCTTCTCTTAGACTTTGATATTTTTCCGATGAAACCTTTTAACTTTTATACTGAACATGGCATTGTCTAAATATAGGAGCAGATCTGCAGAGGGGGCCAAGAATTACTTGGAACATGAGGAGTTAACTGTGAGGCAGCTCCTGCTGTGCCTAAGGGAAGGGAACCAGAAGGTGGAGAGACTTGAAATTGCACTCAAGGAGGCCAAAGAAAGGTATGAAACAGGTTAACTTGAAATACGCATTTTTTTAAAAAACAGCTTTATGGACATATAATTAAGATACCATACAGTTTACCGATTTAAAGTGTACATCTCAGTGTTTTCTAGAATACTCACAGATTGTGCAGCCATTGTTGTTAAAATATAATTTCAGAACATTTTCCCCCAAATAGTACTCACTACCTGCTCCTCTAAGCAGTGTGCTTTCTGTCTCTATAGACTTGGCCATTCAGGACATTTCATATAAATGGAATTATACAGTCTGTGGTCTGGTCTAACTGGCTTCTTACACTTAGCCTAATGCTTTTGAGGTTTATTTACAATGTAGCATGTATCAATACTTCCTTTTCCTTGCTGAATACTCTTCCGTTGTCTATATATATCACATTTTGTTTATTCATTCGTCAGTTGATAAATATTAGGGTTGTTGCCTAATGTTTATAATAGGCAACAATAGGTAAATATTGTTGGCAATATTTAAATAATAGGCAACATATATTGGCAATATATACTGTTGGCAATATTTAAATAATAAGCAACAATAGGTAAATATTGTTTGTTTGTTTTTTTACCTATCATGAACAATGCTGCTATGAACACCGCATACAAGTTTTTACTTGGATGTACGTTTTTAATTCGCTGGGGTATATTGCTATGGGTGGAATTGCTGGGTCATATGGTGCCTCTGCTTCATATTCTAAGGAACCTCCAAATTGTCTTCCCGAGCAGCGGTGCAATTTTGCATTCCCACCAGCAGTGTACGAGCATCCCACTTTCTCCACGTCCATACCAATGCTTGCTTCTTACTGTCTTTCACTCTGACTTGAGCCATCCTCGTGGATGTGAATTGGTATTTTATAGTTCTGACCTATATTTCCCTAGTGACGGTGATGTTGAGCATCTTTTCGTGTTGACCGTTTGTTTGCTTTAGAGAAAAGTCTATTCAGATCCTTGGCCGATTTTTAAAAATTGGGTTGTCTTTTTACGTTGACTTATACGAATCCATTTTACATTCTGGATACAAGTCCCTTATTAAACATCCGATCTGCAACTGTTTTCTCCCATTCTATGGAGTGTCTTTTCACTTGATGGTATCATTTGCAGCACTTTTGTTCTATTTTGATGTAATACAGTTTATCTCCTTTTTCTTTTGTCACCTATGCTTTTGATGTCCCTTCTGAGAAACCATTGCCTAACCCAAGGTCACAAAGATTTATTCCTTTGTTTTCTCTTAAGAATTTTGTACTTTTATCTGTGACGTTTAAGTCTGTGGTCCGTTCTGAGTTTGTTTCCATGTATGCTGTGATACAGAAGTCAAACTTCATTAGACTCTCAATTCTGTTTCATTGATCTATGTCTGTTCTTATGCCAGTACTACAGTGTTTTGATAGTAAGTTTTTACTATAGCTTGGTAGTAAGTTTTGAAATCAGGAAGTGCATTAGTTCGTTTTCATACTGCTGTAAAGAACTGCCTGAGACTGGGTAATTTGTAAAGAAAAGAGGTTTAATTGACTTACAGTTCAGCATGGCTGGGGAGGCCTTGGGAAACTTACAATCATGGCGGAGGGCAATAGGAGAAGCAAGGCACCGTCTTCACAAGGTGGCAGGAAGGAGAGGTGCTGATCAGATCTCATGAGAACTCACTCACTGTCACGAGAACAGCATGGGGGAAACTGCCCCTATGATTCAGTTACCTCCACCTGGTCTCTCCCTTGACACGTGGGGATTATGGGGATTACAATTCAAGATGAGATTTGGCTGGGGGCACAAAGCCCAACCATATCAGAAAGAGTGTGCCTTCCAACTTTGTTCTTGTTTTTAAAGACTGCTGTCTATTTTGGGTTCTTCGCTGTTACATTTGAATTTTAGGATCAGCTTGTTAATTTCTGAAAAAAACCTGCTTGGATCTTACTAGGGATAGCATTATATCACCAAATCATTTGGAGAATTGCCATCTTCAGGATTATGTCATCTGCAGAGATAGTCTTGCTCCTTCTTTTCCAGTCTGAATGCATTTTCTTTCTTTTTCTTGCCTGATTATCCTGTCCAAAAAAAAAAAGGAGTTAAATAGAAATGGAGAGAGCAGGCATCCTTGTCTTGTTCCTGATCTTAGGGGGAAAGCTAAGGCCCCACCTTTGTCATCATTTGCAGAGGTTCCTAGTGTCACTCATTCCTGAGCGTCCTGGAGTTCCCGCAGTGTGAATCTGGTTGCTTCTTGGCTCTCCTTACAGTTGGCTTAAAGGTAGGCCTTCTTGGGCTGGTAAAGCCCCACTTAGACCTATGCTTCCATATTTTCCTGCTGTTATTTCCTCTCCCTTTTTCTTGGTTCCTGTAAGCAATAGCTTTTTGAAAGCCATTCTAGTAGAGTTTAGGCTGGGAAAAAAATTCTATGCATATATTCAACCCACTGTCTTTAACCATAGTCTCTATTGTTTTGTTTGCATTGGGATGGCTTTCCTGTGGTTATGATTTGGTGTAAGAATGGTGTTACAGTTTTTTGTTGTTGTTTATTCAGTGACTTTTAAACTTAGATATGTCCTAAAAGGAAAAGTCTTCCTTCTCTACTGAATTCTTAAAAATGAGATACCATGTTCATGGAACACACACACATCCACATGTATATACACACAAAAACAATTTCAAAAACATTTCTGCATAGCACAATTACATGAAAATAGATGGTGTTCAAGGTAAGTTATACTTGCCTTTTACCTCTGTGTGTATTCATCTGTGAAATCAATTCTAGCCAATTTTAGGATGAAAAATAAAACTAATGCTAATATAGTGAATGTGTAGAGATTTTGAAAACCCCTGATCCTTTATCCAAATTGTAAACAGTGTTCTTTTTACTGCTTCTGTAATTGCTATTTTTCTTCAAGCCAAAGAGAAAGTAACTTTTCTACATTCTGTGATTTTTCAGAATTTCAGATTTTGAAAAGAAAGCGAGTAATCGTTCTGAGGTTGAAACCCAGACAGATGGGAGCACAGAGAAAGAGAATGAGGAAGAGAAAGGCGCAGAGACTGTGAGTACTGAGATCCCACAGCCACTGTCACACCCCCACACATGAGAGTAGTCCAGCCACCGAATTCCAATCTTATGATGTGTTACTGGCTTTAGACATAGAGAAATTGTGTTGATGTTGAACATTACCTATTCCTTTTATATTTCCTTGTCCTGGTCTGAATTTCATTCTGTGTCAATTGTAGCAAGACATATTTCTATCAATATTCTGCAAAACCATTTCCTATGTCTTTTCTTGACTGATTTCTTCTTCTAAGTCCTTAAATGAACAAGCCTACTGTATGAAAAAGGAATTTTCTCTACTTTATAATAAGATCACTTGAGGATATGACTCAGAAACTTGAGGTAGAATGGAAAGATTTTGGTTCTATCCCATTACTGGTTTGAATAAAGTAGTTTGAAAGAAAAATGTTCAGTTTTGTCTTTTTTTTTGAGACGGAGTTTCGCTCTTGTTACCCAGGCTGGAGTGCAATGGCGTGATCTTGGCTCACCACAACCTCCGCCTCCTGGGTTCAGGCAATTCTCCTGCCTCAGCCTCCTGAGTAGCTGGGATTACAGGCGCACGCCTCCGTGCCCAGCTAATTTTTTGTATTTTTAGTACAAGACAGGGTTTCACCATGTTGACCAGTATGGTCTCGATCTCTTGACCTCGTGATCCACTCGACTCGGCCTCCCCAGTTTTGTCTTTTTCAGTATTGTCTGGTAATTTAGAGAGGCGCCTTTGAGTCTGCAGAGAGTCTTAAGCTTAGCGAAGATACTGAAGCTCTGAAGGTTTAATAGCCATAGGAGCCCACAGGAAAGGTGTTTACATAAAATATTCATTTTAGGTAATTAATTTATTCAACAAATATATATATTGAATGCCTACTGTATGCAAGGAGATTGAAACTCTACTGTTGAGCGAATAAAGAACATTTAGAAAACAGATGAAGAGACCACCAGTGAAAAATAGTACCCTGTTGACTAAAACTCATTCAACAGCCAGTAGTAGGGAAATATGGTCTTTCAAGACATCACAAACTCATTCACAAAAATTATAGAGGGCCGGATGTGGTGGCTCACGCCTGTAATCCCAGCGCTTTGGGAGGCCGAGGCGGGCAGATCACAAGGTTAAGAGATCAAGACCATCCTGGACAACATAGTGAAACCCCGTCTCTACTAAAAATACAAAAACTAGCTTGGTGTGGTAACACGCACCTGTAGTCCCAGCTACACAGGAGGCTGAGGCAGGAGAATTGCTTGAACCCGGGAGGTGGAGGTTGCAATGAGCCAAGATTGCACCACTGTACTCCAGCCTGGTGACAGAGTGACACTCTGTCTCAAAAAAAAAAATTAGATAGCTGCCAGGAAAAAGGTTATACAACAGAAGTAGTTGAGTAAACTAGAAACATACACTGGGAAGGGAGCATGGGAGCAAGTTGTTAGCTGGGCAGATAAGACTGTGCTTTGACACTTCTGTGGTCTGTGATCTCTGAACCTGGAGTAAGGTTAATTTTAATAGTGATAAACTCATTATCACAAGTGCACCCAAATTGATTAGTTCATGCTTTGTTAGCAAACCCAAATACCAAGTATCTAAAACACTCTTTTCTTATCAGATATTTGGAGTATTGTCAAAGTTGAATCTCATCATCCAGTCTTAACTGGCTACTAATGATTCAGACTGTTTTCTCCCAAAGAGGGTTGTTTAATCTCTGATGATAATTGTATACATACGTTTGGGATTTCCCCATATGATAGGTTGGAAGTGAAGTAGAGGCACTGAACCTTCAGGTGACATCCCTGTTTAAGGAGCTTCAAGAGGCTCATACAAAACTCAGTGAAGCTGAACTAATGAAGAAGAGACTTCAAGAAAAGTAAGAATGCAAGAATTTCATCCCCCTTTGAATACATTTTTACAAAGTATACTACTATAGAAAAACATCATTTTTTTTTTACTATATTATGGCTAAAAGAAAAATAGAGACCTAATTAAAATATGAATTCAGGAAATATTAATGTTCCACTTAAATAACTGTAATATGGGGGAGTGGGGACTGGAGAACTTTAATTCTGCCATTTAGGGGCGTTTGTTTAATGATCCTAAGTGAGAGCTCTACAGAGCTGTGAGCTAGGTTTCCTGCTACCGACTTAAGCTGATGACATTGATGTGAACGAGCATAAAGAAAGACGAAAAGAACATAAAGATCTTGAGTGACACTTACTTGGAAAAAAATCAATTTCAATTTGTTATTTCAACCAATTATTTCAGGCTAACGTGTAGATTGAGAATTTGGCATTTGCTTGTTTTCTCTTGATGTAAGAAGTTACCCAAAACTTAGCAAACCTGATTCGATGTTGTTCCATTGGATTCATTGGCTAACATGCTTGTAGCACAATATGGAGGTGTATGTGTTTTCTTGAGGTTATGATTCCCAACACTCTGTAGTGTTATGGTAACGTGATACAATATGGCAGCTACAACTTAGGACTCTGGACTAACAGACCTAGATTTGACATTTAGGTCTGCGAGTTATTTGTGTTGGGCAAGGTATTTATTTCACTTCTCTGAGCCTGTCTTGTCATTTGTAAATTGTGCGTTATAATTTCTTCTGTATATATTGTGTTAAATGATATGTCTTATGCACTTGGCATTAATGCTTTGTGCATAGCTGTCATTTATCTGTATTATATTGAATTTCTCTTTCTGATCTTTAAGAAGACTTAGGGGAGCTTCCTTTTTCCCTTATTGAATCTTTGTCAGAAACTGAAGTCTTTGCAATTGACAGAACCTGTAACTTTTTAAAATATAAAAGATATCCATGCATCACTGCATGAGAAGCGCCTTTAGCTAATTACTACTGTGGTCTGCATTTAAATAATAAAAATGTATCTGTATGACCAGTTAAAATAATTATTCAACGAGGACAGTACTGGATGTGACTTAGATCTGTACTTTTTTATGTTTAGGCGAAAGGTTTCAGAAATATGGCCATGTCTAGTAAAGAAGCAAGGAGGATTATGTAAAACTCTACAGCCCTAAAACTGTTTGTGTTGCACCTAACTCTGGGATTTGTTTAAAAGCCACTGAGATGTAAAGGAGTATTGTTTATCCTCATGAAACCTTGACCTTTCTTAGGTGTCAAGCTCTGGAAAGGAAAAATTCTGCAACTCCATCAGAATTGAATGAAAAGCAAGAGCTTGTTTATCATAACAAAAAGTTAGAGCTGCAAGTGGAAAGCATGCTATCAGAAATCAAAATGGAGCAGGCTAAAACAGAGGAAGAAAAGTGAGTGTGTGTGTGTTGGAAGGGGAGGGGCGGCCGCTGGGCAGAGGAGAGAGAGTCGCCTTTTTATACAGTTTGTAATTCAGATTTGAGAATAAATTTTTTAAAAATTCCTTTTCACTTATCTGAAGGAGTCCTAGGAGACTTCTCAGATGGGAAAAAGTTTAAAAGTTTTGTCATAATAAAATTATGCTGACTGTTTGCATTCCGTCTTGATTTTTCAGAAAAGTTTTTTTTGAGAGTAAGAAATGCTAGTAGGTGGTGGGATGATAAAGGTAGGTGAGGAGATTTTTCCACTTGAGTGTTCAGAAGGTTGGGAGGCAAGACTAAGTTTCTATGATATTTTCCCCAAGGTTCCATGTTTTAATGTCTTTTTTAATAGGTCCAAATTAGCCATGCTACAATTGACACACAACAAGCTCCTTCAAGAACACAATAAGGCATTGAAAACAATTGAGGAACTAACAAGAAAAGAGGTATTCACAGAAAAAATTTACTTTCATCGCCTAGTAATGAATAGAAACTGTTGAACGTTTTGTATATAAAATAGTTGCATGAATCCTTCCCTAAGTCTGGTTTTAAAGGTTTCATGTTTCTTCTTTTCCACTGACTTCAGGAAGAGGTGGAAAAATAACAGTATCAACAAGTCACAGCCTTATCAAGATTGGACAATCTTGTTATTGTATCCCTGATTTTAGGGTTACCTTCTTTTTTTAGGAATTCGTTATTTGCAAGTCACAACTTAAATATAACTTTCTGAATAAGTTAGCATTGTTAATTAACAGACTGGTTAGAGCTGGTACATTTCTTTTCTTCGTAGAGACAGGTCTCACTATGTTGCCCAGGCTTGTCTTGAACTCCTGGGCTCAAATGATCCTCCCACTTTAGCCTCCCAGAGTGCTGAGATTCCAGGCATAAGCCACCACACCCTGCCAGAGCTGATAATTAAAAATTATAAATAAACCTTTTTCTAATATTTTACTAAAATAGGCAAAATTATTTCAAAACCATTTCTAGAATAAATGTGTCTTTTTCAGTCAGAAACAGTGGACAGGTCAGTGCTGAAGGAACTGAGTGAAAAACTGGAACTGGCAGAGAAGGCTCTGGCTTCCAAACAGCTTCAAATGGATGAGATGAAGCAAACAATTGCAAAGCAGGAGGAGGACCTGGAAACCATGAGCATCCTCAGGGCTCAGGTGAGGCACCTTCCAGAACCATAGCTGAGCAAGGCCAGCCCTGACTGTATTCTCCCGTTGGAAAGTGATGGTGTTTAGAATATTCTATTTTTGTTTCACCTGTGAATGTTTTAAAACTTTAAAATGGAAACGTGGAAAGTGCTCAGTGGATCTTATCTGTTCTACATTTAATAGGTAGTTGGATTCTTTCCATTTGTGGCATTATGATTAATGTTGCTATGACATTCCTGTGCTTGTTTCTCTGTTCACATGTGGATATTGTATATTTATGTTGGGTACACACCTAGGAGTGGAGTCGCTGGATCACAGGCTCTGCATGTTACTCACTTTTAACAGGTAATGTTAAACAGTTTTCCAAGGTTGTTAGACCAATTTTCACTCCCATCAACAGGGGCTTCCGGCAGCTCTACATTTTATCAACACTTCTATTTTCAGTTGTTTTCCTTTAACCACTCTAGAGGGTATGTAGTGGTATCTCATTTAATGTGCATTTCCCTGATGACTAATGGGAATGAGCACTTCTTCAAGTGTTTTTGGGCCTTTGAGGTATCCTCTTTTGTGAAGTGCCTGGTCAAGTCTGCCCATTTTTCTTTTGGTTCGGTTTGCCTGGCTTTTTTTTTTTTTTTTTTTTTTTGAGACAGAGTCTTGCTCTGTCACCAACACTGGAGTGCAGTGGTGCAATCTCGACTCACTGCAACCTCCACCTCCTGGGTTCAGGCGATTGTCCTACCTCAGCCTCCCATGTAGCAGGGACTATAGGCATGTGCCACCACGCCCAGCTAATTTATGTATTTTTAGTAGAGACAGGGTTTTGCCATGTTGGCCAGGCTGGTCTCAAACTCCTGACCTCAGGTGACCCGCCTGCCTCGGCCGATGATTATCCTTTTAAATGTAGCTTAAGACCGGCCTTCATAAATATACCTGGCAGAATGAATAAGCCATTTACTATATTAAGTTGATCCTGAATTGTTTATTATCTAAAAGTCCAGATAATTTTGCTGAACTAATGGTACCTACAGTATTTAAGCCACCTACATCAGTGTAGTTGCAGGATTTGTGTTGTTTAAAGCACACACATAAACACAGCTTGTATCTACTATTGGAATGTACCTGGAAAGTCATGGTCATTATACTGTTTTCTAGCAGGAATATGTATCTATGATTCACAAGGGCTATGGAAGGATACAGCACCACCTACTCACCACATAAACAGGTGCACAGTAGAGAATCCACAGTCTTCTAGGTACTCACTTCTATATCTTTTTTTCCTCTAACAGATGGAAGTTTACTGTTCTGATTTTCATGCTGAAAGAGCAGCGAGAGAGAAAATTCATGAGGAAAAGGAGCAACTGGCATTGCAGCTGGCAGTTCTGCTGAAAGAGAATGATGTTTTTGAAGATGGAGGCAGGTAAGGAAAAAGAGACAGGAGGACCCAGAGCTCACATCAGCATTAGCTGTAGAAGAGGGTGCCTGCTCAAAGACGCTTCTGATTTGAACTATAAGAACAGTTCTGTGTGGGTTGAGCCCTCAATGACCTGTGTTCACGCCACTACACTCTAGCCTGGATGACAGAGCGAGACCCCTTCTGAAAAATAAATAATAGTGACAGTTGCTTCACTTACACTTCACATGATCATGTTCCCAACACTTAGTTTGTCTTAGAGGAAAGCTTGACAGAGACTCTGGGAGCTTGATCAAGCTCTCTGCTTTTAGATAAGCTGAAAAACAGTAACATTACGTGTCCTGGTGACCTCTGTTGCCATCGTCATGGATGAAATATTCATAGCTCTTTAAATTCCTTAATATTCTTTTAAAAAAATACTGCCAAAAATTACTTCTGACTTTTAGAAATTTATTTTGAGAAAGTTTTAAAACACAGCAAAACACAGAGAATAAAATAACAAACTCTAATATGTACTCCATCCTGCAATGACAGTTGCTTTTATTTGCTTCAAGTGTTTTTTTATGAAAGGAGAAAAGGGAGTTGTAGATAAGAGTTGAAGTCTCCTTTGTTCCCCATTCATCGTTGTATTACTTTCTTCCTTTACCTCCTGCTGTGGGGAATTTGGTGGGTAGCTTCCCCATCTGTTTTATACTTTTTACATATTACACACACACCTATATCATATCTCAAAACCAGATAATATTGGTTTCTCTGTGTTTAAGTTGCAAAATGGTCACTATAGGTATTGTCTGCAACCTACTTTACATAATGTTGTGATTTTGAGCTCTATGTTGATATGTGCAGATGTAATGTATTATACTTCATTGCTGTATTTTGATTTATAAACATGCCACTTCTTTCTAATCTGTTTCCTGTTGATGACAGTTTGGTTATTTCCTGATGTTTTTAACCATAATTATTTACTTTCATAGCTTAGTCTCCTAGTACCAGTAGTATTTAAAACTAACATTACTCTGATTTTTTATGAACCTTGGGGGTATAGTTTGACTCTTTTTCTCCCCTGCTTCTGTTGACTGTCTGCTTAATGTTGTCACATTTCAGGGTTGTAGAACGTCATATGTAGTGTTGCTTTTCATCCCAGCAGGCAGTCCTTGATGGAGATGCAGAGCCGTCATGGGGCGAGAACAAGTGATGCTGACCAGCAGGCTTACCTCGTTCAGAGAGGTGAGTCCCATGTGATCCTGGATTTTCAGGAAATAGCAACCCTATGAGAAAGATGCTTGAAGAAAAAATCCACTTCATTCTATACAATAGATTCCAAATCAAGGCACCAAAAATGTAGCACCCGTCAGTCTCATTCCCATAGTACTTCCATCTCCATCCATTACCCACCTAATCCAGACTAGATTCAGACTCTTCACCCTGCCAGAGACTGCCTGACACAGCCACAGTTTTTCTTTTTTTTTCCTTTGAGACGGAGTTTCGCTCTTGTTACCCAGGCTGGAGTGCAATGGCACGATCTCGGCCTCCTGGGTTCGGGCAATTCTCCTGCCTCAGCCTCCTGAGTAGCTGGGATTACAGGCACGCCCCACCATGCCCAGCTAATTTTTTGTATTTTTAGTAGAGACAGGGTTTCACCATGTTGACCAGGATGGTCTCGATCTCTCGACCTCATGATCCACCCGCCTCGGCCTCCCAAAGTGCTGGGATTACAGGCTTGAGCCACCGCGCCCGGCCTCAAACTTTTTCTTTCTTCCTTTTTTTTTTTTTTTTTAATCGAGACAGAGTCTCACTTTGTTGTCTAGGCTGGAGCACAGTGGCAAGATCTCATTTCACTACAACTTCCACTCCCAGGTTCAAGTGATTCTCTGTCCTCAGCCTCCCAAGTGGCTGGAATTACAGGTGTGCACCACCATGCTCAGTTAATTTTTGTATTTTTAAAAGAGATAGGGTTTCATCATGTTGGTCGGGATAGTCTTGAACTCCTGACCTCAAGTGATCCGCATGCCTCTGCCTCCCAAAGTACCGGGATTACAGGTGAGCCACTGTGTGCAGCCTGCAGCCACACTTTTAAGCCATATCTTACTGTGTTCTCTTACAGATAATAGCCAGACTGATTCATCCCCTTGAACTTGTCCTAAGCCTGTGCTTGCAAGTATTTTGTTATGCAGTGCCCTTCACATAGACGCCCTTTTCTTATACATATTCCTGTCTTCCTCCAGTCTCTCTCCAGTGACCTCTTACCCCATCTTTACAACCTATTTCAAACTCCGTCTCCATAAACTGTTTGCACTTTGAACTTCCAAAGTACTTTATTCCTGTATGTTAGTATCTATCTGCTGTTTTATAGGTGTTTATGTGTTCTAGGTAGATATTTTTATTTCTATTTTTATTTTGAGACAGGGTCCCACTCTGTTGCCCAGCCTGAAGTGCAGTGGCGTGTTCACAGATCACTGCAACCTCTACCTCCCAGGTTCAAGTGATTCTCCTGGCTCAGCCTTCTGAGTAGCTGGAACTACAAGGGCATGCCACCATGCCTGGATAATTTTTGTATTTTTAGTAGAGACAGGGTTTTACCATGTTGGCCAGGCCAGAAGTCTCTAACTCCTGACCCCAGGTGATCTGCCAACCTTGGCCTCCCAAAGTGGTGGGTTATGGGCATGAGCCACTGTGTGTGGCCTAAGTACTTTATTCAATGATGCGCTCCCTTGGACAGTATTTTCACCCACTACCTGGTGTTAGTAATAATGTCACCATGTATTGAGCATTTACTATGTGTGGGCACTGTGCTGATCTCACTTTGTACATTTTGTCTCATTTGAGCTCACAAAATTCGAGGAGATTTATATTACTGCCTCCTTACAGAAGACAGATGAAACTTGACAGAGTTAAATAGCCCAGGATGGTGAAGCTAGTTCAGGGTAGATTGGAAGTGGAATCCAAAGTTATCTGACTCTGACCACTACACATTACTGCATAGACTAGACTCTTATTTAATTATGTAATATATCTAGATTTTAATTCCCCCAAACCCAAGTGAAATTGATCCATGAAATGTCTTAAAAGTATGGTGCTGTATTTATTACATGGTTTTAATACACTAATAATAATTCTCTAGTTGACAATAAAATCACTGTCTTACAGTAAATCACTGAAAGGGAAGTATTATCCTTGATTCTAGATATGAAAAAAAAATAAAATTCAAAGGATCAATGACTGACATAGCTAAAAAGTAAAAAATAAAAAGAAGTTAATGAAATGCTACTAAGAACAGTTAAGCCTTAGGATGCCATCTTAAATTTCATGTGAAACTGGTTCTTTAAATTCTTTTTCTTTTTCTTTTTCTTTTTTTGAGACGGAGTCTTACTCTGCAGCCCAGGCTGGAGTGCCGTGGCATGATCTCACCTCACTGCAACCTCTGCCTCCCAGGTTCAAGTAATTCTCCAGCCTCAGCCTCCCAAGTAGCTGGGATTACAGGTGTGCACCACCACACCCAGCTAATTTTATATTTTCAGTAGAGATGGGGTTTTGTCATGTTGACCAGGCTGGTCTCAAACTTCTGACCTCAAGTGATCCACCTTCCCAAGAGAGGTCTGTTAGAATAGAATGTACCTTCTCAGAAGCAGAGGCAATGGTCTCATTCAGCAGATACTTTTGAGTCCTCTGGGTTGTATAAGAGCTGCTGTTTATGCTGGGAATGGGACAGCGGAGGCAGCCCGGATCCTGACCCCTCGTCTCTGGCAGTGTGGTGATTAGAAAGCTCCCTGCTTTAGAAATCATGCTTTATGATCAATATATATCTCTTCAGAAATGCTTCTTAAGGCTGCTGAACACAATCTCAAATACTCATACACGTTGCTGCATTCAAATAATATATTTAGAAGCAAATAAAGGTTGCCTCCCAAAACAAACATTTTGAAGGCCAAAGTCTAGGCTGAGACCAAAAAACCAAGATGGTTTGCATTGGTCCAGAAAGGTTGGAACAGAGAGACGCCTGGGAGCCAGAAAATGTCCTGCATCAGTCACAGTTTGTATAGAACCAAGACCTACCTAGAGTCAGGGCTTATTTCACACATGGTCTAACTGAGGCTTGAACCTCAGTACAACTCCAGAACTGGGGGAAATGACAGGGTGCATTCTTCAGTCATTCCTCCTCATTAACTTTACCTAGATAACTCCTGTTCATTCTCAATGCCCCTCTCTCGTTAATTGATCTCATCTAGGAGGCCTTTCTGTACCAAGATCTAAACCGGGGCCCTTCTCTTTCTCGCATGGATGCCCTTGCACTTAATCCTCACCTGGCCTAACACTCATGTCTGACACCTTGTCATGCCACTGCTGCCACTTCTCTCACCTGGCTTTTCCACCACGTCTGTCTCCCAGCACACAGCAGTGTCTCTCATACATCCCAAAGGACTCAAAAGCATCTGCTAACAAATGAGATGATTGCCTCTGCTTCTGGGAAGGTATACCTTGTTCCAAGAAACCTCTCCTGGGCTCTGGATTCCTTTTTCCACATTCCCTCCCTCTTTTGCTTATATCCTCATTCATCCCTTTTCTTTGCTCAAATGTCCTAGTGTTCACTAGAACATTCAATGTCCTGTACCTAGAACTGAAACCATGTATTTTCACGTAAGTAGAAACTAGAATACACTTTCAATCCTAAATGAATGCACCACTGCACCTGTAATCCCAGTATATGAGAGGTTGAGATGGGAGATCAGTTGAGGCCAGGAGTTTAAGATCAGCCTGGGCAACATAGTGAGATCCCATCCTTACAAAAAATTTAAAAACTAGCCAGGCATGTACCTATAGTCCCAGCTACTCAGGAGGCTGAGGCAGGAGGCCACTGTAGCCCAGGAGTGAGAGGCTGTAGTGAGCTACTATTGAGCCACTGCACTCTAGCCTGGGAGATAGAGCAAGACTCCATGCGTAAAAAAAAAAGGAAGGGAGGGAAGGAGGGAGGGAGGGAGGGAGAGAGGGAGGAAAGGAAAGATGGAAAGAAAAGAGAAAAATCCTAAAATAGGCCAGATGTAGTGGCTCACACCTGTAATCCCGGCACTTTGGGAGGCCAAGGTGGACAGATCATGAGGTCAGGAATTCAAGACCAGCTTGGCCAACATGGCAAAACCCCATCTCTACTAAAAATACAAAAATTAGCTGCGTGTGGTGGTATGAACCTGTAATCCCAGCTACTTAGGAGGCTGAGGCAAGAGAATCACTTGAACCCAGGAAGTGGAGGTTGCAGTGAGCCAAGATCGCACCACTGCCCTCCAGCCTGGATGACAGAGCGAGATTCTGTCTCAAAAAAAAAAAAAAAAATCTAAAATAATAAGGAAGCAGGTATCATTTGGAGAGATTTTTCTCTATGCGCATCGTGATGACTTCAGTTAAAGACCAAACACCTGCGCTCATGTCCCACTGTGTATTGAATACAAAGTTGAACTGATATTAATGCTCACCATCTGTTCTTCAAGTGAAACAAACAAAACTGCCTGCAAAATAGAACTAATGGAATGATATTTCATTTCATACTTATTCTCAGGAGCTGAGGACCGGGACTGGCGGCAACAGCGGAATATTCCAATTCATTCCTGCCCCAAATGTGGAGAGGTTCTGCCTGACATAGACACATTACAGATTCATGTGATGGATTGTATCATTTAAGTGTTGATGTGTCACCTCCCAAAACTGTTGGTAAATGTCAGATTTTTTTCCTCCAAGAGTTGTACTTTTGTGTTATTTGCTATCACTCAAATATTTTGCCTCCTTATTCTCATTTTAAAAGAAAGAAAACAGGCTGGGTACAGTGGCTCATGCCTGCAATCCCTGCACTTTGGGAGGCCGAGGCAGGTGGATCTTTGGGGTGTGGAGTTCAAGACCAGCCTGGCCATGGTGAAACCCCGTCTCTACCAAAATTGCAAAAATTAGCCGAGCGTGGTGGCACGTGCCTGTTATCCCAGATACTTGGGAGGCTGAGGCAGGGGAATCGCTCGAACCCAGGATGTGGAGGTTGCAATCAGCTGAGATGACACCACTGCACTCCAGTCTAGGTAACAAAGCGACACTCCATCTCAAAAGAAAAAGAAAAAGAAAAAAAATGTACTTGTTCTAAGTAGAAGACCTTTGGAGTAGTTCCATCAACTTGCAAAGTAGAATTCTAAGCTACCACTCTTCTGATAGTAACTTTAGTATTTTTTATGTTTGGTTGATTCGAGCAGCTGCACCACTCATGCAGTTAGCTAGCATGTGACATCATGCGACAAAGTTCATGTAATTAGATGGAAGAAACCTCACCGATTAATTTTAAGAATGCTTTAGGGATGCAGGAACAATGAAGTGGCCACAGATTTAATCAAGAAAAATGTTTTTGAAGTATTTTTTAAAATAAACTCTATTGTTACTTTTCTTCATTTAAAATGAATCTATTTGAGGTTATATCTGTATGTTGTAGTTTTACTGCAGCCACAACAATTGTACCAAAGTTTTCACATGCTCACTGTGAGCCTTTACTTAATATCAAAACAAGTGAAGAAAGACTGATATAGACGAAATAGGTACATTGGCCTCACTGGATTTCTTTGCCCATTTAAAGTGTAAAGAAGTTACCTTCATTCTTTTGCATCTATGTTCATCAGAGATATTGGCCTCTGATTGGTAGTTTTCTTTTCTTGTAGTATCTTTGTATGGCTTTGGTATCAGGGTTTTTGACCTTCAAGAATGAGTTTTGAAGTTTTCCCATTTTTTTTTTAAATAAGAGGTTATGAAAAGATTGGTATTAATACTTTCTTAAATGTTTAGTTTAACTCTGTCGTTAAGCTGTCTGGTCCTATGTTTTCCTTGTTGGAAGGTTTTTAATTACTGATTCAAGTCCCTTAATGTCTGCTCAGACTTACTTGAAATCTTCATGACTTCAGCCTTAAAGGTTATGTGGAAGGTATTTGTTTGTTTCTTCTACACCATCCAACTTATTGGCCTATAACTGTTCATAGTAGACTCTTAAAATCCTTCTTAGTCCTGTGGCATCAGTTATAATGTCTCCTCTTCCATTTCTAATTTTATTTGATTCACATCTTTTTCTCAGTTTAGTTAAAGGCTTATCAATTTTGTTGATATTTTCAAAAAAACAGCTCTTAGTTTTCTTGATTTTTAAAAATTGCTTTCCATTGGTTGTTTCTGCTTTAATCTCTTATTTTCTTCCTTCTGCAAACTTTAGGCCTCGTTTGTACTTCTTTTCTAGTTCCTTAAGGTGTAAAAGTTAGGCTGCTGACTTGAAATCTTTATTCTTTTTTAATGTAGGCATTTACCTGTATACACTTCCCTCTTAGTAATGTTTTTGCTGGATCCTGTAAGTTTTGGTACACGGTGTTGTTTTCATTTGTCTTTTTTTCTTTTTTGAGACGGAGTTTCACTCTTGTTACCCAAGCTAGACTGCAATGGCACGATCTCGGCTCACTGCAACCTCTGCCTCCTGGGTTCAGGCATTTCTCCTGCCTCAGCCTCCTGAGTAGCTGGGATTACAGGCACGTGCCACCATGCCCAGCTAATTTTTGTATTTTTAGTAGAGACGGGGTTTCACCATGTTGACCAGGATGGTCTCGATTTCTTGACCTCATGATCCACCTGCCTCGGCCTCCCAAAGTGCTGGGATTACAGGCATGAGCCACAATGCCCGGCCAAGATATTTTCTAATTTCCTTTTTTATTTCTTATTTGACTCATTGATTGTTCAAGAATGTGTCACTTAATTCACATACTTGTGAATTTTCCAGTTTTCTTCCTGTCTTGATTTCTAATTTCATTTCATTACAGCCAGAAAAGATACTTGGTGTCTTGTCTTAGATTTGTGAAGACTTGTTTTGTGATCTAACCTGGGAGTTCTGTTAGAGAATGTTCCATTCATGCTTAAGAAGAATGTATGTTTTTCAGGTCCTCTGTTTCTTTTCTTTTCCTTTCTTTTCGTGGGGTTTCACTCTTGATGCCCAAGCTGGAGTGCAATGGCACAATCTCAGCTCACTGCACCCTCCGCCTCCTGGGTTCAACTGATTCTCCTTCCTTAGCCTCCCGAGTAGCTGGGATTACAGAAACACACCACACAGCCTGGCTAATTGTGTATTTTTAGTAAAGATGGGGTTTCACCATGCTGACCAGGCTGGTCTTGAACTCCTGACCTCAGATGATCCACCCACCTTGGCCCCCTCAAAATATTGGGATTACAGGTGTGAGCCACTGTGCCTGGCCAGGTCCTCTGTTTCATTATTGATCTTTTCTATGAAGGTTCTATCCATTATTAAAAGTGGGTATTAAAATCTCCTACTATTATTGTTGCCTATTTCTCCCTTCAATTCTGTCATTCGTTGTTTTATATATTTAGGTGCTCTGATCTTGGGTACATATATATTTATAATTGCTCTATCTTCCTGGTTTATCATTATATAATGTTCTTCATTATCTCTTGTGGCGGTTTTTGAGTTAAAATCTCTTTTGTCTGTTGTAAGAATAGCCAACTGTGCTTTTTGTTACCATTTGCATGGAATACTTTTTTTGCATCCTTTCATTTTTAGCCTATGTGTATTCTTAATTTTAAAGTGAGTCTCTTGTAGACTCCATATAGTTGGGTCTTTAAAAAAAAATCCATTTAGCAACTCTATGTATTTTGATTAGGAAGTTTAATCTATTTACATTTAAAATAATTACTAAGGAGAAGTAAAAGTTGAAAATATAAAGCACAGGTCAGTGGAGGAGACAAAACTGGTGCCAGTAACCAGACCTGGAGGTTAAAGATGAAACCCCTCTCCCTAGTTCCTATCCTGTCTAGAGATCCCAGGCACGGTATGGAGGAATCTCTTCTGGAAGGCGTTGTTCTTCCTTAATCATGATTAGACCCCACCTAAGTCATGTATCCCTCGCTTACCTCATCAATCACGTCCCTCTCACATGTACCCTCTAAGACTGTGAGCCTTTAATAGAGGCCAGGATTTTCTAGGCAGAGGAGCTGGTTCTTGAGATGCAAGTCTGCTGAGACTCCCAGCTGAATGAAAAGCCACTTCCTTCACAAACCTGGTGTCTGAGAGGTTTTGTCTGCCGTGTGTCCTGCTACATTTCTTGGTTCCCTGACCAGGAAACTATTGCAGTTGGCAGACAACCAAGACAACCTCTTAGGCAGTTTGCTTTGCCTTGCCTTGTGGGGCATCCTGGCGGGGGACTCCAGCCTGCTTGGGCAGTGCGCGTCCTGAGAGCACTCCTGGATAGGCATTCGCCCTGGTGGAATGCTTTGCCAGAGCAGGGCAAGGCAGGCCCACATGGCGGATCCATGCAGAGGCTGAACACCAGGACGGAACTAGCACTGCAGTCTGGACGACAGAAACACGGTAGGACCGGTCCTGGGAAACTTGCCCATGTTCTTTAGGTGGAAGCGTGCCCTAATCACCTACATGTGTCAAATTCGGCACTTCTGAACTCGGCTCTCTCTCTGTCTGTAACTAACCTTGGAAGTCTTGCTTCTGGTTTCAGTTTGGGTGATGAGAGGTGTATGACTGCATGAGTGATTGGAGGGGTCCAACTGGACTTACCAGCCATGAAATGTGAGAGTGGCAGGTCCGTTAGAGGGAACCATAAGATCCAAGCGAATTGTGGGGCCAGCTGGGATTAGGGGCAATCCGCATACAGCTAGAAGGAGGTGCCCTCACAATCTAGGTATTATGTGGGGAGTAACGAACTCTCCAATGCCAAGCAGCACCTGAAATACTCCCAAGAGGGAGACTGTTCTACCAGCCTGAAGTGAACGTGAAAGAGAGTGTGTCACACCACATAGGGTGGGAGAAACTGAGGATGGAGTAAGACTCTCTTTACTGCCTGTGAGTACTGTTTTCTGTGCAAAAAACATGGGTCACACTCATAGCAAGCCTACTCCTCTGGGGACCATGCCAAAACATTTCAAGAAGGGATTTAGTGGGGATTATGGAGTGACTATGACACCAGGAAAGCTGAGGACCTTATGTAAGGTAGACTGGCCAGCATCTAGGCTGGATTGACTCTCAGAGGGAAGCCTAAACAGGTCTCTTGCCTCCAAAGTATGTCATAAGGTCACATGCAAGCCAGGACACCCTGATCAATTTCTGTACATAGACTCATGGCTGCAGCTAGTTCTAAACCCTCCATGGAGGCTGAAAGAACAAGCAACAACCGTACTAATGGCAAAGGGGCAGGTAGCTAGGGAAAAACCCCACATCATCCGCCGAGGGACGCAGACTCCGAAGGTCCTGACAGATCCAATGGCAGAAGAGCCTTTGCCAATGATACCTCCCCCTTATCAGGAGGAAGAAGTCCTTGCCCCTGGGCCTGAAACCTCAGCACCCCCACTAGAACTGCACACTCCCAACCCACCCAGGGTAGACAAGAAAGAATGTGGAGGGACTCCTCCCATAGCTGCCCGCCTCCTGGGAGGAACTCCCCCTCTAGCAGCACATCTGTGACCCAAGTCAGGGATGCAGATGCCTTTACAAGAGAGAGGTAAACAGGAGTGGATGAGGATGGCCTCATGGTGGAAAGATGTGTTTTCACATACCTGCTGTTCACCTCAGCTGATCTTATCAACTGGAAAATTAATACCCCGTCTTATACCAAGAAGCCACAAGCTCTCATTGACCTACTGCAAAGTACCGTCCAGACTCATAACCCCACTTGGGCTGACTGCTACCAGCTGCTTATGTATCTTTTCAACA